GGCCCGGGCAAAATTTCACTCATAGCCCACTGTATGGTGTATGCTCGTCTTCATTAGCCCAGTCGGAGCAGAATACTAGGACGTTCAACCCCATTCATTTCATTTCACTTCATCTTGTTTGAACGGCGACTTTCTAGTTTTGAAAGTCCTGGGTCGCCTTAAGCCATGCGACCAAATAGTTGACGACTCTCACGTTACATTTCAAAACACGACGATCTAAACAGGCCCGTAGTTAGAGTGGGGGGGGGCAAAAGAGAGACACGTTGTTCGTTGGCTTCGTGTTGCGTCCAATGGAAAGGGGGAACCGATTCTTTCCCCAGTGGGCAAAGGAACCATTGGGTGCACCGATTTTTTCCAGGGGAGGCAGCTGTCTCTCTCGCCACCCCATCCCCACCCCACCCTAGCTACTGCTAAATGGACGCTTTCAAGCACCATGTTATGGCATGCATTCGACATCATACGACAGCAATCGAACGGTTGATGAAGTCGATTTTCGTACGATTAATGTACGTTTGGCAATCGGGTAGTTGCTTTGCTGAAGGTTGGTTATAATATGTCTAAATTTTTATATCTTATATATTTATTTGTAAATACACCTGTGCGCAATCTAATTGTTGAAACAAAAATAGGAGGTATCATAATGATCTCCAACTCTGACTTTTCCCAGCGATCTGGATACATCGGATCCACCACGGGGTAGGACACAATAGATTATAGCTTTCTGTAGTATAGTATGTTTTCAATAGAGACAAATATTTGGACATGGTTTGTTATGTGAATTAAGTACAACAGCGCTATTTAAAGGAGCTAAATCGCTAACACTTGAGACCTAGAAATTGACAAAAGTGGCTCGCAACGCATATAATACTGTAGTATGAATGTATATAAACTGATTTACATTCAAGGGTTTCCGTTTTTACTCCAATTTCAAATCATCTATGTTCGGCGAAATAAGCCAGCAGTCTCAAGCGAGTGCAAATTTCTAGTGTCTGGTTATTCCAGTCTATTAACGCCGTTTGATTTGGTGCAATGTGTCTAGCCTCGTCCCTCGAGTCTCTTGATACAACTGGGGCTGAAGCGCATTATGGTACACGATTCGTGTACAAATGGTAAAATGTTTATTTTGTCTTAAATATCGGATATCAAAAGCCCATCTTTTCCGGTAAGATCACATCATGAATGTTGATTTAATTTGACAAATAAATCGTGTTTTCAATGTTGAAGATTTTGGATGATATTGAGTTAGAGACTTAGCTACTTTAAATTTGAGAAAGCCCGTTGTTAGTGCAGAACGGCCAATGTAAAATATATATTAGTGCCTGATAAGTATCAGATATATTATCAAAATTCGAAAAGAAGGGAACGACCGCGTTTTGAACCCCAAAAGCTGCTTGTTGTAGTAAAATCGGTTTAAGGGTAATTTCAGCGAAAATCCACGTCGTCTGGCGAGTCTAGTAACTTAGCCTATTGATTATATGTTTAAATACATAGTTAACCTTTTATCAACAGAGGGCACACGTCGGCGGGGATTAAAAACAACTAAATTATTATTTTTCAATAAGTCCGCTTAAATTCGTAATGCTTCTTTTGTTTGGACTCCAAATTAAAAGACCAAAATTAAAGATGACCACATTTTCGGTGTTTTACAAGTACCTATTAAAAGATTAAGTCGCCTGTGCATGTACAGATTTGAAAATTTCGTGTATTTATGTACAATGAAATTTTATATATAGATTATAAAGGCATGCGGTTGACATATTAACTAAATTAGTCTTAAATTTCAGCGTCCTTCAGAGTGTTATGTTCAAAAATGGTATTTAAATATTATTGAGCATTAATATTCAACTAGTTTTAATTGTACGCACCCAAATTGTCGTACGGGGGGTTGGGTGGTCTAACTCGAGCACGTGAGCCAAGTGTCGTGGTTTCGATTCTCCGCTTGTACGTGGCAAAGAATAGGGTCGCCTGTCAAACCTCCGGTTTATTCCCACTACTAAAAAGCCCTACGCACAAGCGAAGTATTGAAATATAATGAAACATATATTTGTCCCGAAATAACCTAGTCTGTGTTGAGTAGGCATTAAACCCCATTTCTCCGCCCCCCCCCCCATTAGTCGTCAATGCAATAATGAAAGTTTTATAATAACCGCACACAATTTTTATGAAGGTCCAGTGTTGAAAACAATGTATTTTCTAGAAGGTTTCCATAATAAATCAGCAGTGAATATTCGCTAGGCCGCTACAATCGCTGATAGGGATGACATCGGTGCGGGTTAATTAAATTTACGTTATGTAAACAATGCGGGCGTTATCGATCCAGTGGTCGACGTCGCGTTATGTGACGTCACATGTAGAAGGCATTTGAACTTATAAAGGTCAGTCATCTTATACATAGTTATAAGAAGGCTTTCGCAATACCTCTGTGAGACAAATTGCATTAAATACTGCATCAACAATCTGATTAAAACACAGATCCCATTTCGTTTTATTTTTATAGTTCAAAATTTCGTTTTACTTGTCTTCACAACATTGGGATCTGAAAGAGTTCTTATATAACAGGCGATCTAGTTGATGTGAGGAATTAGCCAATGAAACGGTCTGTTCCGGCGAGTTCTTGGCCAAAAATGTGATAAAAATTAACCTAAATATACGTCAGTGGGTTCTTATTAAAAGGCGTATGGCTTTATTGGAATCTTGAAATATACAAAAATGGTTCTAAAAGCACATAGCCAATGTAATATAAATGTATGTAAAGTGATTTATATTCAATTTTTGAAAGGCAATATTGTAATTGTTATGTTCGGTGAATTACGCGAACAGTTCAAATTGAACGGCAGTCATTTATGCCTGCTTAGTGCATTCTACACGTTTTTTCAAATTATTATTTTGTCTCTTTTAAAGGCATTTAGTGAAAGCGATATATTATATAAAAACAGTTTTATGGATAACATTAACTAGGTTTATTAACTGCAACGTTTCAATGAGGATACTCTCGCCGTTATCAAGTATCCTCATTGAAATGTTGCAGTTAATAAACCTAGTGAATGTTATCCATAAGACTGTCTGTTTATTATTATTTTGTCGTTTGTGAATAAGCCTTTACTAATTACTTCCACATTGTGTTGTAGGATATGTTTTTATTTGTTCATTACAAAATGGCACCCGAAACCATATGATACACTAATCGTGTACTGATTATAAAATGTTAATTGTGTCTTAAATATTGGATATAAGGATCCTATAGTTTCACGCCAAGATAACAACATCAATATTGATAGAAATTGATCAATATTGAATTCTAATTCGTGTTTATAATTTCAAATATTATAGAAAATATTACGTTAGAGAGTTAGCACCTTTAAACATACATTATGCAAGAGCTAAATCTGCCTATTGCAGGTCTTTCTATGGGCCTCAAATGTTATTGTTATATAAACTATTAATTAAACATTTATTAACATGACAAGACAATAATCAACTACAATTTTCAACAGATTTGAATTTTATCTGCTGTTTAACGGCCGTTGATGATTAACCGTAAAAATGTTGTTTTTTTTTTTTTGTTTTCGTTCGTTTTGACTTTGCATAGTTTTTAATAATCTGTTGAAATGGAAAAAAATCCCTTAAGTCAAAACAAACGAAAACAAAAGCAGCTAAAAATCAAAATTTAAAGAATTTTCTGAAAAATATAAATAGCGTTCTCTGGCTTAAAGGGGAGCATTAGAAATGATGAATCATGATATCAATGTGTGTATAAAATTGGTGAGAGTATGAAGTTATGAATGTATGAACTGTATGATTTTAATGGAGACCTGAAAATAATGAATGATATTTATGGGACCGTGACATGAATGTAACATAAAATACAGTATGGCGTTGGCCTAGCTATTCGATAAATCGGTGTATGGCGACCTTAAAAAATACGTTACTCACGGACTTCTCCGTATATCTTGTAATATTACAAGATATAGGCTTTCTTCTTATTACAAGATAATCAGATTTTTTCTTTTCATTTGATTGGCCCTAATGGGCTTCCGTACGATCTTAATCCTAGAGATGTCTATGATTTTGGGAGGAACAACTTGCAGTAATAGTTCGCCACTATATAGGCGTCTAATATCACGAATTAAATTCTAAAGAAGTCCGTAAACTAGTATGCCGATCTTTTCTAATCCAGTTAATAAGACAGAACTTGACATAAAATTTATTAATGGCATATTACCCAGTAATTACACGAGTTGTATTTAATGTTATTTCAGCCCATTTTATTTTGTGATACTTTTATATCATACTTAAGAGTCTTTTTCTCTTCTTTGAAATCAATAACGATGAATGAAAATTTTGCCGTTATTAAAATATATATTTATATTAATTATATTGATCGTAACATAAATAGGAAGAACATTAGTAATAACGTGTAATTATTTTCAAATCTTTACAAATCAAATTCGCCATACTGCTGTAATTAATTACATCCAACTCAACTGTTATGAATCTAATAGATTTGTTTTCTCAATATGTTTTTATTCGTCGGACTTCGTGTGGCAGGCAGGTGGCACTTACATTAGATATTAGAATTTACGTCGCAAAATCGCTGCATTGTGTCATTGTGCTATACTGGAAGAAATGCCTACATTTTATTTATTGAGTAATTTCAAAACTTATTAAATATTAATTCTATTAATTAAAGTGTTTCATCGGCAACCACAACGGGATGTCACATGGGCTTACTATACCATAATTGATAATTCAATGAAAGTAGCCAAATTTTAGCTGTCCAATATCGTTGTTGTCCGTCTCTCTCTTTTGATTTAGCGTCTGTTTCCACAATAATTATATCCCAGATAAGAATTCGGAAAAGACGAAACTTGATCTTGCATATTAGAATATGATTATCCAAGCTTTCCCTGAGTGGCCTATGACCAATCGTTGTTGTGCGTTTGTTTAATGAAATATAAATATTCACACAGAATATTACTAAAAAAGTTTATTCAATTACTTTCTAGTTTAATCTTTGGCACACATAATAATACAAATAATTACAAATTATTGATTAGCAAATTAAAAAATAAATACTGTGCGTGTATAGTAATACTAATTACATTAATATTTTCAATCAACAAATACGTAAATAAATATATTTAATATCACAAATAAACAATTACATTTGGTTTCATTTATTAACATACAGTTATAACAACAATGGTAGGCTAATATGAATATACTTCTTATATTTTAATCTATGTCATGCAGTATCGAGTTTAAAATGGAATGCTGGATTTGACCCGTTAACATTAGGATATTAGCAGAAAATCATGTATTTACGGAAATTGCGAGTTTTGGATTTGAAAATTGCTCTCGAATACCATTACAAGTCACATTCTCTACCTGCAACACCGAGCGTAACAAAATATTTTCTTGTAATCGGAGCGTTATTTCATGTAGGTAACCTCTACCTACGTTTTTAGTCACAAGTAACAATAGGCCTACTTTAAATTTGTAGGACTACAGAAGAAGCCTCTATGAACATTTTAAGAAATTTTAGGAATAATTTCTCGTGGGTATGAATTTGAAATGGAGCATAAAAATCTTATGAGCTGTTTAATACCGAACTAACAAATGTTATAGGTGGTCAAACTGCTCTATACTGAAGGAAGATGTTTACTGCGGATTATTTATTTTAGTGTATTACAAGGGAGGTAAGTCTATTTTAGGCGATTTCTTCAACTAGAAGACGATAAATCGAACTTCACCAGAACTTTGAAGGTACATCCAGGAAACTGTTCAAAATGGATTTTTTTTCTGTTGTTTATCATTAACAGAACTGAGAAATCTATCTCGGAACAGGTAGGCTACTTTGTTGTTATTGCAGGTATGGAGGGAACAATTAATTCCATAAATATGATTTTTTTTGTGTTTGCCTATATAGATCTACATTTTAAATGTCATGTGTAAAGATATTTTTATAACTCCTTGTGATAGGCTTATCTATCTATGTTTAAACAAAAAAAAAATGCTCTTCATGCTGTGTGCTGCCCGAACAGTTAGGCGACTGCAAGCTTCAACAGTGACTTCCATAATTTTGCGTGGCATTGGCATATATTCATTGCTGTACTGGGTAGGTATACTATTAACTGAAATTCCATTTAGAAATTTGAAAAAAAACCCATTGCTTTTGTTGGGTAGTGTGGGATTTTTCAAGTGGGGGTTAATTGGTTAGTTGTCAAAGCTGGATAGGCCTACTATTAAATCCCAACTACTGTCTGCTAAATATCAACTAGTCAGTAAAGCCAGGCTTATATCGACCTTACAATTGAGAGCAACTTTCATTTCAGGAACTAGGAGCAACTGGCTTCAACTGAATGCAACTAAAAAAGCAACTAGTTCCAATCAGTTGAAGCCAGTTGCTCATTTCATTTAACTTTCTTCACCTCACTTCAACTAGCGGCAACTAGTTGCCGTCGACATGAAAGCTCTTAAAACTGGCAACAACTCGTTTCCAAGGAAATAACATTATGTGACAAATATGTGTTATGTGACTTTATAGATAGGCAAAATGAAAACAAATGAAGGCATCCGCTTTACAACTGTCGATGATTTTAACAATAGGCTAATGAAATAAAACTGTGACAAGACGGACCATGCCTTTGGGATTGGTTCTTCTAATGTATTCGCCAATTTTGTTGATTATGTGATAAAAAAATTAAAAGTCACATGTTAAGTGTAATCGCTATCAGTTTCGAGTCGACATGAGCAATCAAATTCAGTTTTCTCAATTGCCCTCAGTTGTACATAAGAACACTAGAAACTGGTTGAAAGCAGTTGCTCCCAGTTGCAAAGTCGACATAAGCCCCGGTATTATCATTTTTTCACATAATAGCTAATGTTGTAACGGCAGCTCCTGATGCTACTAAAGCACCACCTGGTGTAAAACCACAGTGCTGAGCTTGATCTGTTTGACCCTGAAACAGAAAAAAATAGGTATTCTTGTATATTCTAAAATCCCAGGCAGTCATTTTCATAATAATATTAAGTTTTTCCTAGGGTAGGTATAGTCTAACTTATGTTTCAAAAACTTCTCTGGTGTATTTACAAAATGCAGGGTTTTCATTCTATTTTATTTCTTTTTGAATCAAGTGGTAAGCTTGGCATAAATCCAGGCTTCTCAGACACATCACTTTGGAATTAATATGTGGTATATTTTAAATTTAGGTACACGTAATTCCACACGAGCTCAACTCTAAAATAGTGAAAATAGTGCAAGGAAACTGGAGAAAATTAACAAAGTTAGGCATATGACAATTCTCCTTGTAACATACAATCAAACTCACAGTTTGCATAGATGAAAGACCTATGCTCTGCAGTGCAAACTAACAATATGACAGATCAGCCATCCAAACCAGCTTTACAACTGAGGTATCCATACATGTTAATGCTAATCTGCTGGTCTGTGACTACATAATTTAATTTTTTAATAATTTCATACCTCTAGAATTTTCAAACATTTACCATCTACAACATCCCAGATCCTTACGGTTTCATCATCACTGGCGCTAGCAACATAGGTACCATCAGACGAAAATGTCACTGCCTGAATCCAGCCTTGGTGTCCGACACAGGAATGTAAACATTGTCCATTTCTAATGTTCCATAATTTAATGGTTTTGTCCCAAGAACCAGAAGCCTGCAGAGAATTGTACCTTCATGAACTTGGTACCCTAGCATCATTTATAAATAACATCCATTTTTTTTAATTAATTCTAAATATTTATTGATCACCAAGTTTTTCCAAAAAATATTAAATCAATAAATAACGATATTGCAACAAAGAAGTCATCATTCATTATGATCATATTTCAAGCCCAGAAACTAGAACATCTTACCAGTATACTATCTTTGGAAATGGAAACTGAATGAATATTGCCTTTATGCCCCTTTAAAACAAATCGACTGATTGGTTTATTGAAATGTTCATCATCAATATACCACACTCTGACTGTATAATCCCATGAACCCGTTGCCTAGGATAAAAAAATATAATAATGTAATATTCTTCTATTTTGTTATGAGCTTACAAATAAAGTAACAATATAGAGAGAGAGAGAAATGAGGATTAACGTCCACTTGACACAAACTAGGTCATTTTGGGACTAACACATGGTTCAATTTTATTTCAATAATTCGCTTGTGCTTAGGGGTCCTTAGCAGTGGGAGGAAACCGGAGAAAACCTTTGAGGTTGGACAGGCGAGCCTACTCCTTGTCACTTACAACCGGGGAATCGAAACCCCGCCAATTGACTCAATGACAGACCTTATGATATAGCGCGCACGTGCTAACCATTTGGCCATCCAACCCCACTAAGTAACAATATAAATAACATTGTCTGATTTTGTTTGGTTGCAGCTGCTCTTGATGGCAGTCTTTTCTTGACTGATGTTATTAAGGTATATTCTTAGCATGTTATCACCATCCTTTAAAGCACTCTAAACCGATGGATAATTAATGCCCTATGGGCACCTTGGCTATCACAGCTATTAAAGTAAATTAAACTTACTATAAATGCTCCATCTTTCGAAAATGCAATAGACTGGACCAAATTCTCATGACCACATAATATTTTAAATGGCAAACCAGACTAAAAGATAAAAAATTTAAGTCATTATTGAATTAAAGTCTCAAACCATGAATACAATAATACAATACTATTAAAATGGTTTGCCTGTCCATCATGACACAATAACTTTCCTTGTAATTGAGCTAGAATGTTCAAACTTGGTGTAGGTGTTTATTAGGTCACTGCCTTGATGAAGTTTGAAGATGAGCATTTTCTCATTAGGGCAAGCAGAGATAAGCAATTTGATTGGTTGATGCTTTCGGACACAATAAGTTCTAATTAAGTGAGAGCGATGAAATTTGGTGTATAGTTTTATTACATCAATACCTTGACTAAGTTCGATAATGAGCATTTTCTGCTCAGGGTAAGCAGTGCGAGAAGCAATTTGATTGGTCAAGACTTTTAAACACAATAACTCTCCTTCGAATTGAGGTAGAATGTTCAAACTTGGTGTAGGTGTTGATTGGGTGAATGCCTTAATGGACTTCAAAGATGAGCATTTTCTGCTTAGGATAAGCAGAGATAAGCAATTTGATTGGTTGATGCTATGGGACACGATAACTTCAGTTCTAATTAAGTGAGAGTGATGAAACTTGGTGTATAGTTTCATTACATCAATACCTTGACTAAGTTTGATAATGAGAGCATTTTCGGCTCAGGGTAAGCAAATCGATAAGCAATTTGATTGGTTGAGACTTTGGAGCTCGACAACTTTGATTCTAATTGAGTGATAGGTGTGAAACTTCGTGTATAGTTTTATTACATCAATACCATAACAAGGTTTGATGCTGAGCATTGTCTGCTCAGGCAAAGTAGAGACTTCAATCTGATTTGTCGAGACTTTGGAACACAATAATTCTCCTTCTAATTGAGGTAGAATGTTCAAAATTGGTGTAGGTGTCTATTACGTGAATGCCACTAAGGCTAAACAGAGATGAGCAATTTGATTGGTTGAGACTTTGGAACACAATAACTTTGGTTCTAATTGGGTGAGAGCGATGAAACTCTTGAATATAAATTTATTATATCAATACATTGACTAAGTTTGATGATGAGACTTTTCTGCTTAGGCTAAGTAGCGATAGGCAATTTGATTGGTCAAGACTTAATTGGAACATAACAATTCTGTTTTTAATTGAGGTATAGATGTTCATTAGGCAAATGTCTTGACTGAGTTCAATGATTAATATTTCCCATTAAAGTTAAGCAGCATAAAGCAATTTTTTTCGTTGATGCTTTTGGACAAGATAACTTTGATTCTAATTGATGGAGAGTGATAAAACTTAGTGTATAGTTTCACTCAATACCAGGTACTTCAAAACCAGAGTTTGATAGTGAACATTTTATGCTTAGACTAAGTATAGATAATCAGTTTGATTACTCGATACTTTTGAAAAAGATAAAATGTGCAATTAATTAATATGTGTGATCTGTTTTGTTTTTTTTATTTCGACGGGGGACATCAGTCTCACTGTTGGCTTGTTATGATATAAAAAAGGCCCTATAATTGATCAATCATTTCTGCACATCTATTAATTTCTTCTTATTTATTCTGTGATGTACAGAAAACTTCAAACAGTTGCTTATAGTTTTTATAGGGTTGTTTTTTTACTCAATCCAACAAACAGGAAGCTTAATCTTTTGTGTTACATGACAGGTCCTATAAAACTTTTGGAAATCTGAGAAAGTTCAAAGATGGTGTCAGTGGATGTGTTTTTATAATCAACACTACAAATTAAATCATCTTGTCAAATACATTCTGTTATATTTTAGGCACACAGTTGATTTCAAATTTATATAATTTTCAATTTGAGTAAAATACTTTATTTCTCCCGGGGTGAGCCAGTCATTTACCTCAACTTGCCAAATAATAGCACTTCTGTCCCATGAACCAGAACATAGAAGCTCTGAATTGGGTGAAAAACAGACAACTTCGACACTCTTTGTATGACCCTTTAAACAATGAAGTAATTCTGTGTTTTTTGTCTGCCAGATTCTGACAGTTTTATCAAAGGATCCACTAGCTATTAGTTTACTGTCTGGTGAAATAGCCACTGTTTTTACTGCAGCTGAAATAAAAACACAGATTAAAGGGAGATAAATCTTTTTAATATTCAAATTATTTTTTAATTCATTCACGTCTTTTTGTGAACTTGAAAAACTATTTATTATTATATTAATGACAGATGTGAGCAAATAAATAATGAAATGCATTCTATACCTGTGTGACCACGAAGTTTACACAGAAATTCACATGATCTTGCATTAAAAACTCTTACTCTTTCATCGTCAGAACCTGTCACCATGATTTGAAAATCACTTGAAAATGCCACACAATTAACCTGCAAAACAACTTTATTCCATTGCAGTTTGCACAGCTTACTTTTATATTATGCACTGAATGTGAATCAACAATATAAAGGCATATATCTTTGTTTCTGTGCAAAGTTATGAACTGCAACAAATCAATAAAATAAATGTTTATAATTATGCCTTTTACAGATGTATTATGTAAGAACTAAATCTGCCTATTGCAAGTCTTTCTGTTGGCTCCAAATGTTATTTAAATTATTATTTAGACATTTATTAACATGACAAGCCTATAATCATCGGATGGTGGAGATTTAAACAGCCGCAAGATTTTAAAATTTAACAATTAAATGGACAATTGAGGCTTAATCTCAGTTGTCAAGTACCATTGCTATGATAATGAATGATCTACTCTATCTTCAAACAGTCATAACTTTTGAACTATTTTATTACAGCAAGAATGTCCAGCTCTTTATCTAAATCTGACATAATGCATCTTTAATTTATCAAATCTGCCTTACTTCATCTTTGTGTCCTCCAAATTCCTTTAAATTAAGGCTTGTGTATTCATTTGGTCCTTTGAACATGGTAAGTAATACTGAAAAGACTAGTTGTGGTTTAAGATTGGATGTCACCAATCTATTCAGCAATTCTTCCTTTACTTCATCTAATTTGAACATTGCTCATTTTCATCAACATTCTGTAAGTAGAAATATAATGGGTTAATTAATATATGCCTAATGCGAATGTGTTTAAAGATGGAAGTTGATTTGCATTGTTAACTATCTCAATGTTAGCTTTAAGATCAACACAAGAATTAAAGATGGGCTCCTCAGGTCAGGGGACGGGACAAGCTACCTTTTAGGGATACGCTCACATTTTGTCTTATAGTCTTATACGCACCCCATGGGTGTTTTTCAGGATATCCATAATAATTCTAGTCAGATTTGGTGTCTTTGCTGAACATACATGTATATTAAGATAGGATAAGATAAGATTTCATTGTACCGAAACATCCATTAAGGACAGCATACAATATAAATATTAGCTACAATATTTGTGAGCCGTGATAATTGTCTTATTCACGTCTACAATTGATACACTATTTTAGTTTTTGCACAAGAAAAATTAGATTCAATTGCAAAATTTTCAACACATATCATCACAGTTTGCATGGAAATAAGCAGTTATGTTACAAATAGTAAAGAGTGGAACACTGAAATCTTAATCTTACCTTACCAACAGTTTTTCTGTATTTTCAAAGTGATGTGAAATTATGTGGGTGTTCTAATTCTGGTTCGTTGGCCATTTTAAAATGAACAGAAATTTTGCATCGCAGTTGGGTTTTATCAAATCATATAATGGTGCGGTAAGGTTTCACCTTTATTTCAATGGGAATTGATTTACTATATGTTAAGCTATGTGCAGTAAAGTTTGGGGTCAGTGTGTAATTGGAAATTAAGGAAGTTATAGGCCAGTAACAGTAACTTTTTTGTAGTCAAATGACTACAAAACTTGCTCAAAGGAAGGCCTTAGAACGATATATTACTGTGGTTGGAGCAAACAGAAGACATCAGTAGTGAAACCATTTCTATATGAATATGTGTATAATAAAAAACGATACAATTCAATATGGCAAATAATGTATAAATATTTACAAACAAAAGAAATGATAATTTTAATCTAGCCTACATTTACTAACGTTGTTAGTAACAAGTTGTTAGTAATATATATGTATATATCCAAAAATATTAACACAACCGTAAAGCTTCACTACTTTGTTTAACGATAAACGACGAAAAGATAAAATACACCAGTGGCAGTATGCCAACACAAAACTGATTTCAACACCGGTATTTTAACATTTTAAAGTACTTTTCTTCTGTCTTATTACTGGGGGATCACGTGGGTAAGACGCTGGCTCGCTAGCCTGGAAGTCGGGTGTTCAATCCCTGCATTGGCCGAGAAAGTTCATCCAGATTTTCCGGCGTGGTTTCCCCTTGTCAGTGATGCAGGACGGAGGGCCTGACAAGGACAGCTGTCTAGTCGTTCGGATGGGACAAAAAACCGAGGTCCCGTGTATATATTGGCGTGCACATAAAAGATCCCTTGGCAGTTGGAATTCGATATAAGAGTAGGCTGTAGCGCCGCTGCCCGGGCAAAATTTCCCTCATACTCATAGCACACTGTATGGCATGTGCCCGTCTTCATTAGCCCAGTTTGGAGCAGAACAGTAGGATGTTGAACCCCATTTCATTTCATTTCATTTGTCTTAGTACTATTCATAGAGATGGACAACATAGTGTAATCATATATACATATGTATACAATAACACTATGGCCTGAAGATGTTCAGTACGAACAGAAAGTGCTAGCCGTTAAACCTCTCGTCAAGTCCACCAAGATCTGATAAAAATGGTCTGTGAAACATCAGCTCAAACAGATGCAGGAAACACCAACCTGACAGGAGAATGTGCTCGACCTAGTCTTCACTTTGATTGCCTCCGTGCCCGGTGAAGAGCTCCTCTACAGTACCTGGTATATCAGATCATGACATTGTTGTTGTAAACACTGACACCAAACTTCACTACAACAGAAACCTAGAAAGTACCACCAATTCAGGAAGGCCAAATGGGGCACACTTGTCACTGAGAAGACAATGTCAAGAAAAATATTGAGTAAGATTGGCTCACTTTGGAGTAAGTACACACAATTCCAGAGGGAGTGCAAGCACGCATTTAGACAAGCAGAATGGTTGTATATCAACAAAACCATCCAGAAATGGAAGTATATGAAGTCGAAGAAGCAAGACAACATCGGCGTCTCCCCACTGAAGAGCAAAGGCCACCCGCTATTCGACGGAAAATCAAAGGCTGAGGCATTAGTTGACTAGTTCCGCTCAGTATTCACATGGGTCACCATCACGCTGTCCACTAGAAAAACAATCGACGCCAGCATTCCCGATATCACCATTGGAGAAGAGGGTGTCAGAACACTGCTCTCTAACATACAGACTGCTAAAGCACCAGGCCCAGGCACTATCCCAAACATGGTCCTCAAGGAGTGTTCTGCACAGCTAGCTTCAGGAATCTACCTAATATTCCAGAGATTACTCGATACAGCCGTACTACTCAGTGACTGGTTACATGCTGTCTTCAAGAAGGAAGACCTTCATTTACCAGAAAACTAAAGGCCAGTATCTGCCATCACCTGCTTAAAGTAGCTAAGTCTTTAACTCAATATCATCCAAAGTCTTTGACATTGAAAACACGAATTATTTGTCAATTTAAATCAACATCGATGTTGTGATCTTACCAAGAGAAAGATGAGCTTCTGATATCCAATATTTAAGACAAAATAAACATTTTACCATAGGTACATGAATCGTGTACCATAATAAGTTTCTGAGCCATTTTTAAGAAGGAACTCGAAAAACGAGGCTAGACATATTCCACAAGTCATGTCAAACAGTGACGTCATATTCTTATCCGGAGAGCATGTGCAATAAATACTATCAGTGTAGACTGGAATAACCAGACGCTAGATATTACCATTCGATTGAGACTTAACTGATTTGAAATTAGAGTAAAAACGGAAACGATTGAATGTAAATCAGTTTATATAAATTCATATTACATTATTATGTGCGTTGCTATATGGTGGCTGAAAGCGTCCATTTAGATCATCGTGTTTCTAGATACAACGCGAGAGTCGCCGTTAAGCCAGCACTAGAGTGAGCTGCGTATGTTTAATAACTAATAAGTTAAAAGTATAAAATTTATTTTCAAGATGTAACATGCATTAATAATGAAATTAAGTTTGCCAGGTGAAACTAAAGGCACCCAATCGTAGCTAAAAACAAGCACGTCAGTATAATATATTATCTCAGCGTTTTTACCTACGTTCTACTATTAGTACTTAGCCTCCTACGACTACGTCGTCTAGCACTAGCCTAGTAGACTACTTTACAAGATAAATAAGTTTTTCTCTTTGATAATGTCCGGCACTGTAGGCCTATGTTTAAAACAATATGACAATACCATTGACAGTCTTACTGAAAAGTTGACGTTCTTCTATTCTCAGCATAGCTCTCATGTTTTTCTAATTAATTCCATCTTTTCATATGAGAAAAAAAAGGTCAGTTGCTAATGTACACTAACATTATTTCCGTTTCCGGTTCATGTGTATTTCCTCCCAATATTAAACTTACATGAAACGAAATATATGGACCAATAATCGTCCACAAATAATACTTGACTCCTCCACTACTAATGGTAAAGTCGTCCACAACTAATACTTTAATTTGTAGCCTACACAATAAAGACCAGAATCGCCCAAACTCATCTATATTTATCAACCAATAAAATCCAACGTTACATGTATAAAATGAAAGTAGAATATATACCGTACACTACCGGTACTACAATATTAAGCATTCCTTTAGCTCAGAATTGAGGTGTAATTACCGGTTATCGTACACAATTCTTAGCATCTTACTATTATATGTCCTGAAAGGTAATAAAATAAGCTTTCCAAATATTATTAGTAAAAGTTGGCACAATCATATTAAATGGGTGCACTCTCATCCTAAACGTCGCCAATTTTTCAATATTTTAAAGTGAATTAGACCTGTATTTTTTTCAAAGTTCAAATTCCGACCATCGTACAAAATTCTGAGCATCCAACTATATATATTCTAAACGGAAATTGAGTAAGCTTTCCAAATATTATTAGTAAAAGTTGGCACAATCATATTAAAGGGGCGCGCTCTCAACCCGAACACTGCCAATGTTTTAATATTTTAATATCGTAGCCTACAAAATTCTGAGCATTCATCTATATTCTAAACGGTAATTAAGTAAGCTTTCCAAATATTATTAGTAAAAATTGGCACAATCATATTAAAGAGTTGCGCTCTCATCCTAAACATGGCCATTTTTTAAAAAAGAATTTAAAGGGAAAAACAATTATACCGTGTCAAAAATCGGATCATCTTACAAAATTCTGATGATCCAACTAAATATATTCTGAAAGGTAATTTAATAAGCTTTCCAAAAATTATTAGTAAAAATTGGCACAATCATATTAAAGGGGTGCGTTCTCAACCTGAACAGAGCCATTGATCAATATTCTAAAGGGATAGACCGTTATTATCCCGAGTCAAAATTCCGACCATGGTACAAAATTCTGAGCATCCAACTAAATATATTCTGAAAGGTAATTAAACAAGCTTTCTAAATAATATTATTAGTAAAAGTTGGCGCAGTCATATCAATGAGGCAATGAGGTGCGCTCTTATCCTAAACATAACCAATTTTTAAGAAAATTTCAAAGGGAAGGACTGTTTATATCCCGAGTAAAAATTCTGATCATCGTACAGAATTCTAATGATCCAACTAAATGTATTCTGAAGGTAATTTAATAAGCTTTTCAAAAAGTATTAGTAAAAATTGGCACAATCATATTAAAGGGGCGCGCTCTCAACCTGAACAGAGCCAATTGATCAATATTCGAAAGGGATAGATCGTTATTATCCCGAGTCAAAATTCGGACCATGGTACAAAATTCTGAGCATCCAACTAAAAATATTCTGAAAGGTAATTAAACAAGCTTTCCAAATATTATTAGTAAAAGTTGGCACAATTATGTTAAAGAGGTGCGCTCTTATCCTAAACATAACCAATTTTTAAGGAGTTAAGGATATTTTAAAGGGAAAGACTGTTAATATCCCGAGTCAAAATTCTGACCATCGTACAAAATTTTGATGATCCAACTAAATATATTCGGAAAGGGCATTAAATAAGCTTTCCAAATATTATTAGTAAAAATTGGCACAATCATATTAAAGGGGCGCGCTCTGAATCCGAACACTGACAATGTTTCAATATTCTAAAGGGAAAGACAGTTAATATTCCGTGTCAAAATTCGGATCATCGTACAAAATTCTGAACATCCAACTATATATATTCTGAAAGGTAATTAAACAAGATTTCCCAAAATTATTAGTTAAAGTTGGCACAATCATATTAAAAGGACGCGCTCTCAACCTGAACATCGCCATTTTTTCAATATTCTAAATGTAAAGATAGACCTGTATTTTTTTCGAAGTTCAGATTCGGATCATCGTACAAAATTCTGAGCATTCAACTATATATATTCTAAAAGGTAATTAAACAGGCTTTCCAAATATTAGTAGTAAACGTTGGCACAATCATATTAAAGAGGTGTGCTCTCATCCTAAACATGGCCATTTTTTAAAAAAAAAACAACTTTAGGGAAAGACCGATAATATCCCGAGTCAAAATTCTGACCGTCGTACAATATAGATGAGTTTGGACGATTCTGGTCTTTATTCTGAATAAGTTGCCAACGAAAAGGTTGCCAGCTTGATCGGTCGAATCTGTCGCTAGGTGAATAGGTTGCCAATTTGTACGAAAGCCCAGAAGGCTCATTCCAAATTCCAAATGCGAAATTCCAAATTCTAAATGCGAAATCCCAAATTCATGTCATACCTATAAAATAGCAAATTGGCAGCCCCCCTCAATTAAACAAATTAGAATTTATATAAATTGTAATTTTACACAACTAATTACTTCTAGTTTACCTATCTGGGCCGGATAAATACCCGTTCCAAATTACTAGATTCCAAATTCCAGATTCCAGATTCCAAATTCCAAATTCCAGATTCCAAATTCCAAATTCCAAATCTGATTCGACCAATCGGATCAGGTTTTTGCTTTTGACTAATCAGTTAGAGTATAATAACAATATTCCAGTTCGGGTTTGCTTCGGCAGATGTGAACAGTTTGGGGCAAAGTTCCTCGGCAGTGAGCTACTCTGCTACTCGATATCCTAGGACTGGCATTTTTTTTAAAATTTTTTTGCTACAGCAAATTTGGAATTTGGAATCTGGAATTTGGAATCTGGAATTTGGAATGGGTCTTCTGGGCTTTCGTAAATTTGTGTTCGGTTAGTTATATCACGATGCAATACTGTACCTATGTCCAATATACTGCGTTGTCGCAGTCGATATATTAATATTAATATGCCAAGCTCGCACACGGTCCAGTTAACCGCTGTATGCAAAAGCATAAACAAAGCATTGCTGTATGAAGCCGATTTATATGTTTGTGTTAATTTTACTGCAAACAATTAATAGATAACATCTGTTTGGTTGCAAAATGCCACGAATTATGCACAAGAGTAAATAATAGAATGGGTTAGAGTGGTGACCTGCGGTTCCACGAAAGAATTTTTCAAGACGATATTAAAATTTAAGCACGACCGTAGCACATCTTAAAAAAAAGAACAAATAATAATCACGCTGTAAAAAATAATTCTGTATAGAATGCATGAGTCGAGTCCAGTTATTTGCGTTTAACAGTTGTTCTCTGAACCAAATGCTGAATTAGAAATTGATAAAATGGACAAAAATGTATCGTTCTTCATTCTTGGTTGCGACAGTGGAGATAAACTGATATCGCAGTAGATTATTTTATCACACAAGCGATATTTACTGTAGAATGTATTATTGGGTGATAAAATGATTTACTTATTTATTAATGAACGGGTCCGCTGTAGCGTGAGATTTTCCGAAAACCAGATTTTCCGAAAACCAGAGGGGAAGGGGGGAGGGGGGGGGGTGATAAAGTAGAACTAATTCAGAATACTGTCTGTGTCCCGAAAGTAAACTATGTCGTGTGGACGACTTAACCAACGTATTTCTACAACCTGAAATTAAACTAAGTCGTGTGGACGACTCCACCAACGGTAAGGCCCGTAGCCAGAGGGGGGCCTATAGTATTTTTTTGGGGGGGAAAGGCCTCTTTGGCTGCAAGTCTGCAAAATACAGTGCTCGAAATCCCACCAATTTTTGGCCTGGAGCCACTCCGCAATTAGCTGAAAACGTTGAGATATTAATACTGATGTGCTTGCTTTTAGCTACGAAATTGGGTGCCTTTTAATTTCACCTGGCAAACTTAATTTCGTTATTAATGTATGTAACATCTTAAAAATATGTTAATTTAATACTATTAGGACGTATTAAACACATGCAGCCCAATCTAGTGAATATCTTTTGTTTATCTGTAAATATTGTACATAAAGTGAATCAGGCGCTGTTTTTATGAAAATTGATACAGCTACATGTATTCATAATTACAGTGCATTAGTCCTGCGCAACTCGTCTCAGTTTAGTGTGAGAGAGAGAGAGAGAGAGAGAGAGATGGGGTTTAACGTCCACTCGACACAAACTATAACGGGACTAACATATGGTTTATTTTTATTTCAATAATTCGCTTGCGCGTAGGGGTATTTAGCAGTGGGAGGAAACCGGAGGACCCGGAGATAACCAACGAGGTTGGACAGGCGCGACCCTACTCCTTGTCACATACAACGGGGATTCGAAACCACGCCAGTTGACTCAATGACAGGCCTCGTGATACAGCACGCACATGCTAACCATTCGACCCCCCCCCCCCCGTCTCTGGTTAGTACTTTGATTGGCTGTTGTACACGACATAAATATTAGCCCCGCCTTCATGACGTAAAGATGTGGTTTGTACCCGTGTCAGGTAGGATTATAAACTTAATTGTAGTTGGGTGTGGCAGAGATGTTATAGATAACAATAATCAATCGTTGTTCTGAAGAATAAATTGACAGGTTTGCTTATTGAAAGCCCGATCTGTTCTCCATCGGGATTTGCCAGGTGGATATATATACCATCTCTATCTCGAAACACGGAAGGTTGAGAGATGGGGTTTCTTATCTCCTCCGCAATGTGTGACAGTTTTCGGGCATCGATCATCAATTTTTCGGGCAGACTGGTAAAGTTAACAAAAAATCAATATAATAATTTTTAGGAAACAAAAAAACATTTCCCGCCAGTCGTCAAAATAAAGTGCCTGAAATCCCATGACTTCTTGGCCTGGGACCTTGTCGTTCTGCACTGTGCGTGCAAAAGTTTTCGGGCATCGATCATTATTAAATTTGTGTCGAAATTTCTTTAAATTGACTAATGGATAAAAATTTAAAACATTTAAAATCAGTTTCATAAAAGGTATCTAGCGCCAATTATCTAGCGCCACGCTAGAATATTCACTCAGCATCTTCACTATTTGTTTGTTTCACCAGTTTTTCGAGAAGTGAAATTTCTGTGGGCATCTTGTGGGATTTCGGTTGCAGAACCGTATAATTTTAAGGCTATATTGGCCACTTTCAAGTTGTTTTATTCGCGGACTGAAGAATAAGGAAATCGTATATTTGCGGGTGTGTCATTTTCATAAATTTTCAGATAAAGTTCCTGATTGTGCCAACTTTTACTAATGATATTTGTACAGTTTATTTAATTCCCTTTCAGAATATATCCTCAGAATTCTGTACAATGATCAGAATTTTGACTTCGGAATATTAACGGTCTTTCCCATTAAAATATTGAAAAATTGGCTATGCTTAGAATGATAATTAACACACCTCTTTAATATGATTGTGCAAACTTTTACTAATAATATTTGGAAAGCGTATTTAATTACTTTTCAGAATATATTTAGTTGGATGTTCAGAATTTTGTACGGTGATCCAAACCCTCGCCTTTCTATCTTAAGATTTTTTGTTAATATTACCCCAAAAGCCATTTTCGTAAATACTTGACAGCTATGGTCAAATCCAGAAAAATATTCCTTTTTTCAACACACTCTTTCTACATCAACTGGGAATGAAGTTCAATTATATGCCCATTTTACAATTTTTAAATAACAGGGTTTAGGGACGTATTTTCGGACAGTGCTCATGGGGATGTGAACACAAAAATATATAATTTCATTGATACACGATAGATTTGAATAAAAGGTTTACAGTCCTCTTTATAGGGTCATCTTTGTGGCATTTTCCTTATTTGGAAATACACACTTGCCTCATCAGAACACATTGTCAATTTTCTATGAGTTGATGTGATCACAATAGTATTATGTGTATTGTTATAAAATAAATTAACTTTTATACAAAAACATTCTTTATTTATAAATACATGTAGTTGTAAAAGGGTAATATTGACAAACATAATTCAATAGTTGGAATAATATCAAAATTTACAGAATACTGAATAATTTGGTGGTGTATTTGAATTAAGGGCACCAAAGGAATGATTGTTTTAATAGGAAGTTTATAATGTATGATAGTTTTCATGAAATTATGCATTTTTTTTTATTCTACCTTGATTAAAATTAGCATTTTTCATCATTTAGAGGTCGTGGGGTAGCTGCCAAATTGCCCTACTATAAATTAAGCCTAACAAAGAATTATATAAGCTCTCAATGATACATATAAAAAGACAGGTTCCCAGGCAACTAAATATACGTACACTCACAGCAGCTAAGTCACCAGTGCAGTCAATAAAGGTATGGTGACCATTTACAAGAGACTAAATTCTGATCAAGTGTAACAACCCTTTCAGTCATTATCATAAATAATTCAAATTTGATTGACTTCTAGTTCTTCTTAGTGTTGACATTTATTATATAAAACCTGTTCTGATAATCAGATAACTTCAGCTGTTTGAGTTATTGCAAATCATGGAAAATTTATTTTTGTTTGTGTGTATAAATACATGTATCAAGTCAGTTGGGTGATAGTTTTGCCTCTAGAAGTGCCCACAAGATTTTTCAAATCGATCAAGGGCCATAACTCGGAAATCATTGATAACCATAGGCTTCTGGTCTGAGGGAAGTCAATCTGGCGATCACTTTTGCCTCTTGAATGTCAACAAGATATTTCAAAGGGCAATAACTTTGACGGTAGTTATTGGAAATCCCTGTACATCAATAAGCATCTTTGTCTCACGGACTTAGACACTGTGTATAAATCTCAAGTCAACCATATAATAATTTCAGCCTCTAGAGCATCCACAGGATTTTTCAAATTGATCAAAGGCTATACAGTAATTATCAGAGAATCCACAAGCTACTGTGGATGACGTTTAAAACGTTTCAAAGGATTTTCACTATTTTTAATAATATTAAAATCTATAAGTATATTGTGAACAATATTTTCATTTGCTTCCACAGTTCTTTTAGTATATTTGAATACTTCTATCTCATAATTTCAAATGTTAAGTATCCGATATCTCAGTTCAGTGATTGGTGAGAGATCCAATGCTCCCAAAAAATTATTTTAATATAAGTCTGATCATGGAATGTTTATATAATACACAGTCCATGGTTTTATTATGAACTAAATAAAATTTTCCATATGGATAAATGTCACTTAATTTTGGTGTGAAAAATGAAGGTTAGTTTTCTCTGAAATCATTTAATTTGACTTAAAGATAAAGACAGAAACAGGCTGTATATTCTTTTAGGGACTGGTATCAGCATAAGTGTGGCAAAAAAACGGTAAAATAGCCCGAAAATGCTACTTATTTCTTATATTTTTAGATGTTCATTATTTAACATAAATAATGGCTCAATAAAAATAAAAAACATGGAGAAACAAAGATTAAATCAAAATCATTGAAATTTCAATATATGTTTATAAATATGAGATCAAGCTAATACAAATATGACTTCTATATAAATCATTTAATAAAAAACCCATAATAATTAAATATTTCAAAATTCAATCAAACTAGCACTTTAAATGTCAAAGAGAAAATTTTAAATCAAAAGGATAGTTATGTCCTTTAAGTGAGATCCATAAATTTTTCATTTAGAAAATTTTAGTTGAATGTTAAGAATAGAGTTTTCGTTTGACTTTCATTCCTAAACATATTTCTACATCTAATATAAATAAGTTAAAAATATAAATTGTTTCCAAAGTCTGTAAAAATATAAATTAAGGCAAGATACATTCTACCCTATAGGCCAAAGATATCACTTAAAAATATTTGGTATTTGCTAATAATATTCAGTACAGAATAAAATAACAAGTAAGGCTGATTTAACTAAAAAGCATATTGGCACTCTTTAAATGAAATCTCATCAATAGATGATAAACAGTTATAAAAAACAGTTTTACCAATTTGGAAAAATATTATACAGAATATACACATATACAATGTATTTTAAAAATCCAGTTTGATGTCACATTTGTTATCTGTATTTAGCAACTGTTTATCATCTATTGTCCAAAATGTTATATTATTTATCAGAATTTTTCAAACTTCACTTGAAAGGTCATATTCAAAGCTTCCATTAGTTTTTTCCATTAATTCTGTAAGTTTTCCACCTTCCATTCTTAAATTGATAAAATCCCACAATGCTTTGTAGACGAATCTGTATTGTTCCTGAAAAATATGTAAAAAAATAAAGTTTGGCTTCCCCATATTGATTACTTAAGTTTTGGACCATTCCATTATTTTTAATTACTACATATGACATCCTATATTTTGGCCTACCCGTGCACTTATTTCAATAGCTGTATCACAGGAAATTCTGTTGCATGGTATATATGATAATAAAAGTAACCCAAAACTGTTGAAGCTTTGGAACTTTCAATAAGAAAATAATTTTACCATAATCAATTTCATATATCTTATTCAGAATAATCCTAGACTAATTATTGAAAATCTAAGCATTGTTATTAATTGTCTATAAAAATTTTGAATACCACTATAGGCTATAATGCATATGAATTGTCTTTATCACAGTGAGTGATTGGCAGATTGGCCTACAATCGAATTTTAACACCCTGATATAACTGTATATATACAAATCAAGACAAATCAAAAACTATTTTTTTTAACAGCCAGCAAAGATCTTAAATATTGTAATACGTCTTTAAACTTTTTCAGAGTTTGATAGAGGAGGAGAAAATCAAGTTCATAATTACCATTTGACAAATTATTTGTTTTCGCTGTTTCTTGATGTGTCGAATGGTATGGAAAACATCAACTTCATTATCTTTATCCATTTTCTCTAACACTACCGAGAGTGTTGTATAGAGACCAGAATGTGTGGCACCGTCTTTACAATGAACAAGAATAGGTGTGGAATTCCCATTACATTGCATCTGCCAATCTTGGACAACGTCTATAAGATCCAGCATCATGGCCTTGGAAACTGGGGTAAAATAGGGCTCAGACCAGGCATTAAATTGAAATTGGCAAACAACACGGGGATTTTCATATGGTTTTTGAAGATTGTGAACTTTAAATAATCGACATGTTATATTGTCTCTTTGTGTGACAGTGGAAGCCTCAATAAAAAATGGTTCATACTGTTTCATCTTAGTCTCTGGCCAGTACTTAGCACATGTATCATCTTTGCAATCATAATTTTCCATCATCACTATGGTACTGACTTCATGATCATACACTAATTTCCAAAAGTCAATAATTGTTGTATGTAGGGGAGTTTGAGTCACAATAAATTGTCTGGTTTTCTCATAACCATCCATGTACACAGCATTAATGTAATCAGTTCTGTTGCTCCCACCAGGAGTCACTAATATTGGACGGTCATCATTATGTGGGATTACATCGTGATATCTGTTTTTTAAAAGATTTGCTTGTAAGAGAGCATTAGAACAACTATAGCCAGGGGGGCCGTGTGTAAATTTCTCTAACAGACGGAATTGATCTTTAAGGTATGAGTGTCCAGTCTTTTTATTGTTTGTAATAAGTTTGTGAAATCTCTGCTTCAAATCCTGACCAACCCATGTGTCTCCTGCATAGAACTGATCAAACAGACACTCATAGATAAAGATGTATTGTCCAAGTGTACGAACCATTGACGGTCTCTGTTTACGCATGGTCTTGACAAAATTATACACGCTTATCCGGCCTTCACTAGCATACTGATCTATCAGAGAATCAACAGCAATAAACACTGCAGTTCTGGCCATACCAGTTCCACAATGAACTAGAATTGACCCCTGATCCTTGTTATGGTAATTTTTACATTTGCGTCTCATTTCCAGAAGAGGTATGGGATCTCTGGGAACACCATGATCGGGCCAGGTTATGTAATCAAAGAGAACAACTTGTCTCTTGGATCCAGAAAGAGATTTTTGCATGTGAATTGTCTTGATGATGAAATCTGCATATTTATCCTCCTCTACAAGTTCCAGGTAGAAATCACCAATAGATATTTGTGCATTATCTACTTCTGGCCAATACTGGGTGCATTTCACGATATCATCTTCCACTACATTGGTTATTATTACCACTGTTTTTATATGTTCCTGGTAAATCATTCGCCAAAAGTCCAAAACTGTGTCTTTATTGAAAGGACTTTGAGCTGCTATGTAAGCCCTTTCTTTTTTATAACCATTAATATAATTGGCATTTATATAATCACTGTCAGAATTCTTATCAGGAGCCAGAATTACCCTGGTTTGGTCAAAAGGCAATAGATGGGGAAATCGATTCTTGGCTTCGTTACATCTCATTCGTGCAGCATTATCAGTAGCAGATTTAGTAACATGAGGAAGCGAATGGAATTCCTTGTTGAATGATATGCGATCTGTATCAGGTCCAGAAATTGTGTAGCCATTCATATCGGTCTTTGGATCCGACGGTAACATATCTCTTCCCGCAATGATGTAACGACTTTCTCTGAAGGAACAAACTTTATTCCAGTAAGTCTCAGGATCATAATCACCTTCATATATGGTCATATCTAGTTCATCTGGTACATACGGTTTATAAGGCGGTGGTCTTCGACGACGCCTCCAACATATACAGATAACAATAATAAGGATGATAATAATTATCAATATGATAATGACTATAACAATAATAAGAATGATATTGGTGTTTGCCTGTGCTGGAGGAGGTGAAGTAGTTGTTGGGAGAACAGTAGCTGGTATAGCTTGAATAGAAGATTCCATCTTAGCATACCTAACCTTGGTCCTGTTGTTTAGAGTGCTCAGCACGACATAATAAATATCATAATACTGGTTAGCTTCTAGGGGTGTATTGGTGTATGTATTATATATGTTGTTGTCACCAATAGTAAATGCTCTGGGTACAGAAACATCTTGTTGACCTAATTCTGCTGTCACATATCCTGGAACAGATGAATGTCTTTTTTTCCTGTTGTTTGTCTTCTCTACTTGTATCTCATATTTAATTTCTGGGCCAGAGGGGACAGCCACTGGGCTTATAAAGATTGTAATTGTTGAATAAGTCGAGTTGACAAATATGGGTGCGGTGGGAATTGGGGGGTTGTCGTGATCCGTCCAGTAATCTCTGGTGATTGCTGGACCCTCTCCTCTATCATTCATTACAGTGACAGAGAAACGATACAGTTGACTTGGCATAAGACCACATTTACTTACACTGGTTATTGTTCGTTGAATTTGGCCTATACGAGTAGTTGTACCTGATGATGGTAATACAGCTTCTAGCAATACCTGGAAAATAATAATATAATATTAATGAAAATATATATTTTTGTGTTGTGAATTACAAATTTGTCCATTTAAACCATAGTGTGAAAATATGAACAAGCCGAGTAACAAGAAAGTGATAACATACAGTTAAACTCAGTATCCATTTGTTTTACTTAATCCTGTATTCCATATTTTACATTTTCCATACACAGCTGGTGGCAATTGCTCTGAATATATGTAGTACATTTATGGGGTGCTCGATTGTTTGGACAACAGAGGTGGTGTGAGCAGAATAGGGCATAATTAAACATAAATGTTTCAACTGTCATGGTTGGTTGAAATATTTCTTATGCAGCTTAAAATCCACCGTTTGCACTCAATTGTCATTATTTTTGTGATTGACAGAATTTAATTCCAGAACGTCCATTTGAGTGTCCCCGTATAGAAATTCAGAACCACGAAATTAAATAAAGATATAAATTTAATAAGATTGTACAAGATTCATATAAGATCCTTTGAAGCAGGCCTGGAAAAATACTAACTGATTTTAATAATTAAACATTTTACCACATATGCTATTAGGTTTCCATTGAGTTGTGTTGGAGGGCTCCAGGATATATTTAAACAGGTTGTGTTTCTAAAGGTAAATATTAAATCAGTTGGTGCCGTTGGTAGATCTCTGAGAGTTTGAATACTTTTTGTTCCACCATATGGTCCAGTTCCACCCCCTGTTTGTGCTCGAATCTGTTCAAGTATATATGAAACAATATTCAAATTATGAACAGGAATTTTTCAATATTTCATTGCTAGAACAAGATTAACTGCAGGACAAATGTCACAACTATCCCATCTTAAAAGATCTCCAAAAGGTTAACAATAATAATTAAAAGTTAGTCACTGAAAATAGAAAGTTGATGTAAAATGTATCATTCCGTAAAATTTGAAAAGACTTCCAAAAGGAGAGTTTAAAATTTAGCACTTGCGGCCCTGGGCCCCTTCTGTCATAAAATATATCTTTGATCCATGAAGCAAGAGGAAACTAGGCCCTATTAATAATTGACAGTGCTTATACAATAAAAGCTAGAAGAGATCAATGTTTTACTTATCATAGCCTATCGTAATTTGAATGACAAAAGTAATTACTAAAAACATAGAAAATTTACCTTAACATAATAGAGAGTGAAGGCCCGAAGATTTTGTATTCTAGCTGTACCACTAGCAGTCTGGGTTAAAGATGTAGGGAAGTTGAAATCAGCATTATCACTATATGTAATACTATATTCAGACACTAAACCATTGGGTTGTTGTGGTGGATCAAAGTTCACAGTAATGGTATTCTCTGTGGCACTTAAATCCTTTACAGTAACTGCTGATGGAGCTATTAAAATACAAATAATTAAAATACAATATTCATATGCATTCTATTGATATACATTTAAAATGTGACAAAATATCTGCCAGACAGATATGAAAGCTTTCATATTCATGGTCACATCCTGACACATGTCATGGGTTATATAAAGAATCTCAACAAGAAAAAATAATTATTAAAATTGGTCAAAAACTGCCGAAGTTCTAAGTCTAGATAAAGTGTGAAATATTTCACCCGGGCGAAAAAAATAATCTGAAAAATAAAGCGAGATAACTGAGACTTGTATTGCTGTAATCGGATTGACCTTTCCTTCCAGAAGATTCAGAAAAATGGATCAAGCTGTTTAAAAACAGGACGGATCAGAAAATGAAATGAAAATGGCGGGAGAAAACTCAAAACTGGTGGGGAAATATCAAAAAATTAAATGAGATAAATTTGAATGCAACTTATATTTTTGGAATCAGATTGACCACAGCTGTTCAAATATTTAGGTCAAGTGAACACTCTTGTCGGCATGAAAAAGGTCAAAGGCGAAATTTGAAATTTTGAAATAACAAAAATTCAACCCTCATCCTGGCTATCCAGAAGCGTATTCCTTTCCGAAATAGCAGACAAATTCTCCAAACTACAGCCTATTCTGTTTTGTTTTTTTCACGGCCGTTAACGTAGATTTTTCACTTTCTTTCATATTGAATTTATAATGGTCACCATCGGTTGACCGAAATAAAAATTCTGCTCTGAACGTTTTTTAGGCATTCCTTCAAGGATTCAGAAAATGTAACTGCTATGTTTGTAAGTAAAATATTGCAAAAGCCGTAGTGATTTTTCAAGTTTCAAGATGGTGGCACTTCCGGTTCGATCGACAAACTCCATATTATGTGTATGCATCAGTAATATCTTAGCTAGTACAGAAATAAATTGTCAAGGCAATCTCGCCTACTTTTTGTCGATTTTTTTAAAAACTTTGATCCTTAATTAGAAAATTTCTAATGACATCGTTGAAGTTAATTGGATCAATCAGATCTACTTACATTCCAAATTTTATAAAACTCATACTAATATTCAAGATATTGTCATGCTGGTTTTTACTTCCAAAGATGATTAATCTAAGTAGCAATCGAAAATCTATTTATCGATTGAAAAGTGAGATAACTGCATAAAAAATTTAAATTATCTGCAAATTATCGTATATTCATTGCAGTAATTATACTAATGTGCTGATATTTGACAATATTAGGTTGTTATTTGATAATATTGGGTAGTATTTGGTGGTATGGGTTATTATTTGCTTGTTTTGGGTGATATAGGGAGGCAAATGGAACAGCCAGACATCGGTATCGCATTTGAAGTACATTTCCCGCGATATAACTCCCTATTTTTGAAAAAATATCAAATGATATGTCCATTTTGCATCATTATGTTGTAGTATTAGGTTGTATGTGGTGACATTGACTTGGTATTGGGGTGATATTGGCTCCTATTGGGTAGAATTGGGTAGATCATCCTGCCGCCTTAATCTCCAAGGGGAGATAAGTTAGAAAATTTCTAATGACATCGATCAAGTTGAATCAGTCAGATCTACTTACAAAAAATTCATGAAAATTGGGCTAATATTAAAGAAGTTGTCAAATTTGTCTCAACTTCCGAGACGAAATCACAGAAAGAAATTTTCGAAATTTTGAAATTGAAGGCGAAAAGATTTTTTGCAAGGTACTCATAGAATTTTTTAGTAAAATAGGTAAAAAACACCACAAAGTAAGAACTATGCATTGTTAGTTTTTCGTTCGTAAAATTCAGTGATTTCGGATTCATTCATAAAACATTTTGAAAATAGTTTTAATCCACAGCCACCACCCATTCTTGGAGGGGTAGGTGAAGGTTTCAGAAAGATCCCATGGTTAGATTCTGAGATATAAAATTTGTGGTAAAATAACAAAAAACAACAACAAAAGAATAATAATCTTAACAGAAACAATAAGCTTTCATATGAAATATGAAAGCTTAATAATACCCTGTTTCTACAAATCTATATATCAAGATATATAAAAGAGTATGTTATTAGAGTATCTGACATTGCCGAGGTACCTGCTTCTAAACGAATTATTTGAGTATCTGTCAGTACTGAGGTACCTACTTCTAAACAAATATTATGCAGGTGCATATACATACTTCTTGCAAGACTTACATACCGTGATAAAATTGATAAACCAGCGGTTGCCAGGCAAGATACGTCCACATTTTGCAAGAGATGGATAGAGAATAAGCTAAAAACAAAAGCGATTTTTCGTACAATCAGGGGTCATAATCCAGAAAGTTATGGTCTGAAATGTGCAAATATCGAAAGGGACTGAGATCTTTAGGATATAAAAATATATTTTAAGTTTCATCAAAATCGGATAAAAATTGTGACCTCCACATACTTTTACACTATTTGTGTACAAGGAGCGGCCATTATGTCAGGCAGTTTCGGTTAGATTTTTACGAAAATCGAACTCAATGTGTAACGGTGATGTGTAACAGTGATATATTTAAAACATTTTAAAAACTGAATACAAATCGTGACTTCTTGCGGGTCCACAAGCTAAAAATACGATTTTTCAAACAATCAGGATTTATAATCCTGGAAGTTACGTTTGGATATTCGTGATTATCGAAAGGAACCAAGATCTTTGCGATATAAACATAAATTTAAAGTTTCATCAAAACCGAATAACAATTTTGGCCTCTAGAGGGTCCACAACCTTGATATACCATATTTTTACACTATTTGCGTATGACCAACAGCCATTTTGTCTGGCAGATTTGGTCCAATTAGGGTGTAACAGTGATATATTCACAGTTTTTAAAATTGGATAAAAATTGTGACCTCTAGAGGGACCACAAGCTAAAAACGTGATTTTCCGTACAATCAAGGGCCAGGAAGTTAATTGTTATGATCTGATATGTGTGAATATCGAAAGGAAACAAGATCTTTGGGTTATAAACATGTATTTCAAGTTTCATCAAAATTGGATCAAAATTGTGACCTCTAGAGGGTCCACAACCTTGATATACCACATGTTTACACTCTTTGCATACCAGGACGGCCATTTTGTCCGGCAGTTTTGATCCGATTTTCACGAAATTTAAACTCAACCAAAATTACGGAGTAACGGTGATATATTTGAACATTTTTTTTTAAATCGGATAATAGTTGTGACCTCTACAGGGACCACAAGTTAAAAACGTGATTTTTCGTACAATCAGGAGCCATTAGTTACGATCCAATATAAGAAACCAAGATCTTTGGGTTATAAACATTGGGTTGTGACCTCTAGAGTGTCCAAAAGCTAAAAACGTGATTTTTCGCACAATCAGGGGCCATAATCCAAGAAGTTATTGTCTGATCGAATATCAAAAGGAACCAAGATCTTTAGGAGATAGACCTATATTTCAAGTTTCGTCAAAATCGGATAAAAAATGTGGGCGACGGTATAATACGGCCACATTTTCATGTGGGCGTATAAAAATTTGTAGTTGTATCATGCATATGCTTTTTGGAGGTCTGTAGTCACCAATGCAGCAAACTAAGGTATCTGTGACATGAATTTCATTCGGTTACATGTAGATCTACCTAGTCACATATCATGTAATGCTTTTATCTACTTTCAGGTGGTACAGACAAATTTACAATAAAATGTATTAAAGACATAATGCGGCAGAGAATTGGGTTTTATGTTCACTAAACAGGTAATCTCAGAACTAACATATATTTTTATTTCTATAATTCACTTGCATTCAGAATTCTTTACAAATGGAAGGGAACCAAAAATACTTTTATTGCATATTGTCTGAAAGTCTATATTTCTAATTTTTTCCAGAATATTTGGTCTTCAATATAATGTCTTTGCGTATCGTTCTCACCTTCTTCAGCCGTCTGGAATGAAAATGGCTGACTGTAATTGCTTTCTCCTACAGCATTAACATATCTAACTGTAGTAGTATAACGTGTGTAGGGAGTTAAACCAGTTAAAACTATTTTTGTTACGTTTACACCGTCATTGCGTATAGTTTTATCATTTTCGTTGACTGTCTTCACATCATATCTAACTAGCAGGCCCCCACGAGATAAGCAGTCCATATTTATCCATGTCAGTTCCACTGATCTTGCTTTGATGTCATCAGAACTAATTCCAGTTATCATTCCAGAAGGTACTGAAATTGGAATAATTTTCATATAAAAATAACTGTCTGCATTAGCCCAGTCATGCTGATAGGTAGAACATTAATCCCCATTTCATTTATTTCACATAACAATAAATTCAATTACCTACTTTTACCATGGCATGACCCTAATGAGAAGGTTAAATTTTAGACTGACCACCAGTCTTTAGAGAGAGAGAGAGAGAAATGGGGTTTAACGTCCACTCGACACAAACTAGGTCATTTCGGGACTAACATATGGTTTTAATTTTATTTCAATAATTCGCTTGCGCGTAGGGGTCTTTAGCAGTGGGAGGAAACCGGAGGACCCGGAGAAAACCCACGAGGCTGGACAGGCGACCCTACTCCTTGTCACGTACAACCGGGGATTCGAAACCACGCCAGTTGACTCAATGACAGGTCTTATGATACAGCCGCACATGCTAACCATTCGGCCATCCAACCCCCACCAGTCTTTAGAATTTACCATTTAACTTAGTGAGTTAATAATATACTAATTTGATGGGGGGTTTTCCCTGTAGACTGGACCAATCAAGCAGAATTTAGATCTTCAAAAAATTTTCCATAATGATTTATCTGTTATCCTAAACCCACTATACATGTACATAAAAGTTAAATTATGTTATTTGATGAGACACCAGACTAAATTAAGCCACATTTCTGTGATAAAATATTGTTATTCTCATAAAAGACTTAATGGGGCATTATGTAAGATTTAGAAAAAGAGCTGACTGTTCTCGCTATAATATTTCAAAAATAGATAATGCAAAATGAATATATTAAAAATTTCATTCGGATTACTTTATTTTGAGCGAAATTATCAATGGTTGCAGATTTGACAAGATGTGTGCATTGATTGAAACCACCATACTGGTCATTTGAGTCTTAGCCTCGCTTCTCCATTTGTAAATCAAATTATTAAATCGGTGCCATCTGATGGGATCGAGATTTGATTATGGTCTGGTCATGTAATAAATGACTAATTATTAATTTATATAACATTTAAGGCCCAAAGAAATACCTGCAATGGGCAGGTTTAGCTTTTACATCATGCCTGTTTAATAGAGGTTTACAGAATAAATGGTGTGTCGTCAGATGACAGAACATCCGCACCCCCAATTTCCTCAAAGGTGCAACTGATACCAGATGATAGCTACTTTAAGTAATCAAGAACCCCAGATGTAAAATGAATTGATGTTATCGCCAAATCCATCTATAATACTATAATCTGTTTGGATAAATTTTCTCAAAGTATTCTTTGGTTTCCTGAAGAGAAAAATCTAAATCACAAGTTTTTCACTCAGTGGAAAACATCAATACTTACCTATTTCATTTGTTTCGATTGTTTGAGATAATTTATCAGATATGACTGGTGACGTTCCAGTAGCTTCTACAGTGACTAAATATCGTCTGTAAGGCTCCAAATCATTGTTAGGTATAATTATGGCTGAAAATTTATCTGTTGCTTGTATAGTTTTATTTTCACCTTCAAAAGTAATGCAGTCACCAGCACCAACAAGCATATAGGTTAACATCACGTCAAAGTTTAAATTGGTAACACCAGGTGTCAAATCCCACTTTACTTCAATATCTTCATTAAGCAAAAAATCTAGAGACAATCTTACAAATACTTTAGCACCTAAAACAGTGAAATAAGAAAATAATGTCATCAATGTAGAAGAAATACTTACATTATGCAATAATTCTAAGATATGATTTTCCCTGAGATATTTTTCAGGAACCAATACAAGCATTTCTAATTGGACTAGGTTTCAAGCTTTTGATGGAATATTAGGAGGTCTTGATTTAAAAAGCAAAAGTGACAATATGAATTTGCCAAAATCTTAACCAAAAAAATTAATCTACCAAATATTTTATAAATACCTATATATGATCTTGTAGTTGTTTCTGGAGCTGGGGATGTTGATGTTATTACTGAAATAATAAGTCATGTATTACCATCAATACTCTGTATATAGTTAACCAGGCAATACAATATCATATTGATGAATGGAAACTGTGTCAATTATCCAAAACAATGACCTTCTGGTGGGTATTTAACCCCAAATCATTGTTCAATTATACCAATTTAATTATTTCAAGCACTTGCTTTCCTTCCCCACACATCTCTTCAATACAATACTATGGTTAATTTGAGACTACCATGTGGTTATTTTTTCTCTAGTCATGTATACAATTCTAGTGAGGACAATTTTCTTGTCAAAGGTTCATTTATGGGGGCAGGACGATTTACCCAATACTACCCAATACCACCAAATACTCACCCAGTACTACCACGGACATACTATTTCATTATTGTTAAAAACTGACAGAATAATTAAATTAAATAAACAAAATTTGTATATGCACTCGTATGTCTAGACTTTAAAAATACCAAGGTAAAGTTGCCTGTCACACATATTAACAGTATCAAATCAAGGTGCACCCTGAGCAACAACAACCAGACCTAAACAACATATATATTGTCTTATTGTTTTCACACAGCTTGTGCTACCACTAATAACACTTTTGGACATGGGAAATGTCCATTAGTTTACAGATAGTATGTCGAGAAAATGCTGCATACACATAAATTATGAACGTCTGTTTGACAATAAACCTTTACACTTGAAATTGTGTTTTCATTTCTATCTGGATCGTATCTTTGGGGTTAACTTTGTGAATCAAAGTATTGTGAGTTATACATAGTTAATGTAAATATTACCTGTACAGGGGATAAAAGTCCAACCTGAAACAACACCAGGGGTAGCTGGCTCTATTTTACCATCCACTATTCTATGTGAATCTATTCTAAATCTATAGAAAGTATCAGGAGCCAGGTTTAATACATCTATTGTGTATGATGGTAAACCATTTGTTGTCCCCTGTGTATAATAAAGTTGCCAATCAGAGCCATTTTGTTGAATCATCACACTGCAAAAGAAAGATTCATAATCATCACATGATAAAGAGAATCCTACCAATATCAAAATGTTCGAGGAGTGGTGAAAGTCAAATTAATTATGCAGAGTGATTAATAAAATTATTTTATATACTGAGTACAGCAATGATATGCTTTTGGTACTAATACTATTCATAAGACATGGAAAGGGGCATATTTACATAATCTTAACACATGTAACACAATTAAAGCACAGGGTGTTCACATCCCAAACCATTGCCAATTTTTTTAAAAATTCCGCCAGGTAGGCTACAACCTCTCCATACTCCTAAATTCTCCATTCCCAGTGCTTATGATAACGGTAAATCTCTTTGATCTTTGGGGTATATTCTTTGCCCGGAATAACTTGCAGTCTGAAAGTCGGGGGCGGCTTTGGATATATACAGGGGAATTTGGGGTTATTCTTCTGAAAGTTTTTCTTTAAACCTCTAAAGGGTTATTCTTCCACGGTAGGGTTTTTTTTTCCGATACGAAAACATGATATAAGTTTTTTCTTACTGGAATTCTGGGATATTCTCATTTTACGTACATGTAAACATAGACGGTTTATAAGCAAGATAAAGTCCTCGACTTCGGTTATGCTGGGGGGAGAAAGATTCAGAAAAAACCCTTGACAGAAAAACCTCGGCCTACCAGCCTCGGTTTTTCTTTTTCTCAGGTTATTTTCTTCAGTCTTTCTCCCCCCAGCATAACCTCTGTCTCGTGCTTTATCCTACATTTAAAAATGCCCTGTTAACTTGCAATAAAGGGTTACAAAAATTTGATGTACCTGTATTGTCCGATAGAATTTTCCCCAATATCTATTTCTTCCTTCCATGCATTCCATCCAACTCTGACTCGCCTACAAGCCACACTCACTAGGATTGGTGGAGCAATTAGTTTGGGTAAACCTAAATAAAAATTCACATCTTATCTTGATAAAGAATTTAAACAAGCAGTTGCCATGCAAGATACTCCCACATTTTGCAAGAGATGAGCAGAGAACATGCGTCAATATTGAAAGGAACCAAGATCTTTTATAAAAATCAGAAAAAATTGTGACCTCTTATTTATTTGCGTAACGTTCAGCTACGATTAATTGCACATGTAGTTTTATATACGCCCATAATTTCGATTCCGTTTTTGACATAACTTGAAATATAGGTTTATCTCAAAAAGACTGACATGCATCGGATCGAAACTTCATGGAGGTCACAATTTTCATCTGATTTTGATAAAACTTGAAATGCATGTTTATAACCCAAAGATCTTGGTTCCTTTCATTATTTGCGCATATCGGTTTGTAACTTCCTGAATTATGGTCCCTGATTGTACAAAAAATCATGTTTTTAGCTTATGGTCCTTCTAGAGATCAGAATTATTATCCCATTTAAAAAAACGTTTGAATATGTCACCGTAATGATGATCGAGTTCGAATTTTGTGAAAATTGAGCCAAAATGGCCGCCCCTCGTACCCAAATATATGGTATATCAAGGTTGTGGACACTTTAAATTTATTTTTATATCACAAAGATCTTGGTTCCTTTCGATAATCGTGCATATCCGAATGTAACTTCTTGGATTATGACCCCTTATTGTAAGAAAAATTGCATTTTTAGCTTGTGGACCCACTAGAAGTCACAATTTGTATTCAATTTTAAAAATCGTTTAAATATATTACTGTTACACATCGATGAAGGTTGAATTCGAATTTCGTAAAAATCTGACCGCTCCTTGTACCCAACAGTGTAATACCAAGGTTGTGGACACTATAGAAGTCACAATTTCTATCCGATTTTCATGAAACTTGAAATGTATGTATATAATCCAAAGATCATGGTTCCTGTTGATATTTGCTCATATCGGACAGTTACTTCCGAAATTATCTCCCCTGTTTGTACGAAAAATCACGTTTTTAGCTTGTGGATCAGTGATGGGATTTCACCCGTATGACGCTATTTTCCAAACGTCTTAAATTGTCCGACCAAGAATATGTCCAATTGGACATCAAGACATGGTGAATAATATCCAAAATTCCAAAATTAATATAGTGTACTGTGTGTATAACTACCACTCACCCCGATTATTGTTGATAACAGGCTGGATTGATTAGGTAATTAAGTGATCAAGTTTAAACATTCTACCTCAATTAAAAGCAGAGTTGTTATGTTCCAAAGTCTTAACCAATCAAATTGCTTATCGCTACTTAGCCTAAGCAGAAAATTCTCATCATTGAACTAAGTCAAGGTATTAATATTATGAATCTATACTCATCACTTTCACCCAATTAGAACCAAAATTATCGTGTTTCAAAGTCTCAATCAATCAAATTTCTTATCTCTGCTTAGCCTTAGTGGAAAATGCGCACGATCGAACACCGTGAAGGCATTCACCAAATAAACACCTACACCAAGTTTGAACATTCTACCTCAGTTAGTAGGAGAGTTATTGTGTCCCAAAGTCTTGACCAATTACATTGAAGTATCTATTAAGCCTCAGCAGAAAATGCTCATCATCGAAAATAGTCAAGCAAGAGGGACAGTCCAATCAATGTCCCTCTGCTTTATGGGACGTTCATACTTATATGAACACGTTGGTCATTCCCCCGCACTCCCCCCGCTACGCTAGCTAGAGGCCTGTCTACCTCAATTAGAAAGAGAGTTATTGTGTTCAAAAAAATGTGACGGGCAGACACATAGACAGACAGACGAATAGACCCATTTTAATAGTCCCCTGCCTAGAGGGTCAAAAAGCTAAAAACAGGATTTTTCGTTAATCAGGGGTCATAATCCAGGAATCCGATATATGCCCCAATATTGAAAGGGACTGAAATCTTTGGTATCAGCTTATATTTCAAGTTTTGTCAAAATCTGATAAAAATTGTGACCTGTAGAGTGTTCACAAATAAAATGTGAACCGACAGGGGTGACTGTATAATACATCAAGATGAAAATGTGGGTGTATAAAAAATCTGGATATTCTGAACAAATAATATACTTGTGTCTTCATTGATTGGCATTTAGTAATTAAACATATTAACACAAGGTAAATGGCTCCCTAATAAAAGGTGTTAAGTTTTAATTGTATTTGATTGTTATTTTTGTTGCATATTCTGTATACATTTGCCTACTATTCACATACCTGTATCATTTGCTTGATAAAGACGAGAGTATCCTCGTCGAAATGTCGCTTAGTATTAAACTCAGTAATTGTGTATCCATAAAATTGTACCTTGTGTTAATATATTTGTGGTTAGAAAAGAGCTGCTGCATGCAATACTGACAAAAAATTAAAGATAGACAAAGAAATGACGATGGAACATGTACCCTATATGTATTGAATACTGAAGCGTTTCTTTATTGAATTTAAGAGTTTAGACTACTTTTTTTTTATACATTTCACTGATGTGGTTACTTGTTTAATTGAATTTTACTACATATGCTTACATTCGTATTTCGTGTAGCATATAGCAGATCATGACTCATGCTGGCATTACACAATAATGTGTTCTTTGGGTTGTATTCCTAATTGTTTTCAAATTTGAGAGAAGTCTGTGTCACTACAGACTCGGGACTGTACAGCGCAGTGGACGCTTACGGCTAGCCCCCGGATCCATTCACTTTTTTGGAATTGTCTGTATGTTTGTATTTTTCCTGAGTATGATGTCCTGTCCGTGTATTTGTTTTTGTGTAAATTTTGTGTGGTGCAGTCCCCCTGCACTTACTATTAGAATAACTTGCAAACAATTATATGGTCATATTTTATCAATATCACTTTAAATTTATTAAAATATCTTCATGGCTGCCTACTTACGAATTGAGCAACTGGGACCACCATATTCTACAGCACATCTTCCTGATGAACACAAACCATTAATAGAGCTGCATGTATCATTTACTGGACAATGACAATTCTCAGCACAATCAACACCATACGTCTTATTAACACAGCCTATGGAGAAAACAAATTTACAATATAACAACTGAGTTTTAAATCACTGAGTGGGTTAAATTTTAAAGATTAAAAGGTCAAAGGTGGAATAGCCTTATGGAAACAAATATATTGAAAATAATTATAGTTTTATGAGAAGAAAAATAATTTGTGAAAACTATCAAAATTTATCTTACTCGACAGTTATCATTTATAAAAGCCCTCAATTATATTATAGTCATCCACTTACTAGAATTACAAAAAGGTGGTTGTTCGTAACCACGCGCACATTTCCAACCATCACAGAATCCATTTGTTTTACGACATGTTTGCTGATTTAAACAACGACATTTGCCAACACACTCAACTCCATACTGACCAACTGGACATTCTAGTAAACATAATATAAAAGAATGAATATAATAAAACGTTTTTTTAAATCGGATAAAAATTGTAACCTCTAGAGGGACCCATACATGTAATTCGGGAACCTGGGGTCCGATATGCACGAATATCGAAAGGAACCGAGATCTTTGGGTTATGAACATACATTTCAAATTTCATCTAAATTGTATAAAAATTGTGACCTGTAGAGAGTCCACAATCAGGGGTCCAAATCAATGAAGTTTCAATCTGATACATGCCAATATCAAAAGGAGTCAAGATCTTTTGGAGATAAACCTATCTTTCAAGTTTCGTTAAAATCGGATAAGAATTGTAATTTGTAGAGTGTCCGTCCACAAACAATTTGTGGGCAGATGTCCGGACAAACAGCGGCGACGTCAATATACGTCCACATGAAAATGTGGGCGTATAAAAAATGTAAACTTCTAAATATTATTATTTATAAAGATATTCAAGGACTAGATACCAGAATCTGACAAGGACTAATCAGAAAACGACCAAGATGGGGACTGATAATTCACAAATGAATCATTTCTTCCACAAGAAACTAGTGTATGGAAAGGACAAGAGAAGAAGTAGGAAATTCTGAAATTGCTCAAAACTTTTGTAAGTGATCCTCAGAAGAAACACTGATATTCAACCCACTGTGGTAGCCACAGTGGCTCAATGAGTAAGGTATGGCTAACTAATCAGGAGTTCTGGGGTTTGATCACTGTGTTGGCCAAGAAAGTTTCCTGGAATTTTCCCCTTGTCAGTGGTGCAGGGTGGATGGCCTGGCAAGGACAGTGTCTGGTTGCTCAGATGGGATGAAACACGGAGATCCCAAGTATATATTGGCTTGCACATGTAAGAAGCCTTGGAATTCGATATAAGAGTAGGCCATACTGCTGATGTCCTGGCACAGTTTCCATCATAGTACACTGTATGACGTATACCCGTCTTCATTAGCCCAGATGATAAAAATGTGTGTCTCTGTAATCTTTAAATATTCCACATTTAACTTTGCATTTTCACCACCACAAGAAAATAGACCAGCAGCTGCCAGGCAGGATACGCCCACATTTTCGAGAGATGGATAGAGAACAGGCTAAGAAGAAAGTGATTTTTCCTACAATCAAGGGCCATAATTCAGGAAATTACAATTCGATATGCGCAAATATCGAAAGGAACTGAGATCTTTGTGTTATAAACTTACATTTCAAGTTTCAACAAAATCAGATAAAAATTGTGACTTCTATAGGGTCCACAACTTTAATATACCCTATTTTTACGCTATTTGAGAACGAAGGGGCGGCCATTTTGTCTGTCAATTTTGGGCCAATTTTCACGAAATTCGAACTCAGCCATCCTTAGGGTGTAACGGTGATATATTAATATGTTTTTTTAAATCGGATAAAAATTATGACCACTATAGGGTCCACAAGCTAAAAATACGATTTTTCGTACAATCAGGGGCCATAATTCAGGAAGTTATAAACTTACATTTCAAGTTTCAACAAAATCGGATAAAAATTGTGACCTCTATGGGGTCCACAATCTTGATATACCATATTTTTACACTATTTGAGAACGAACGGCGGCCATTTTGTCTGTCAATTTTGGGTCGATTTTCACGAAATTCGAACTGAGCCGTCCTTAGGGTGTAATGGTGATATAATAATACGTTTTTTAAATCGGATAAAAATTATGACCTCTATATGGTCCACAAGCTAAAAACGCGATTTTTCGTACAATCAGGGGCCATAATTCAGGAAGTTACGTTCCGATATGCGCGAATAACAAAAGGAACCGAGATCTTTGGGTTATAATCATACATTTCAAGTTTAAACTAATCATACATTTCAAGTTTAAACTAAATCGGATAAAAATTGTGACCTCTACAGTGTTCACAAGCTAAAAACGTGATTTTTCGTACAATCAGGGGCCATAATCCATGAAGTTACAGTCCGATACATGCCAATATTGAAAGGAACCAAGATCTTAGGGTGATGAACCTATATTTCAAGTTTCATTGAAATCGGATAAAAATTGTGACCTGTAGACTGTTCACAAACAATTGTGGACGGACGGACAGGGGCGACGACAATATACGTCCACATGAAAATGTGGGCGTATAAAAATCACCCATAATCAAATGTACTCCACTCACCTACACATTGTCCAAACTCATTTTTATATCCTATAGCACAAGCAATACAATTATCTGATCCAGTTCCTACACAACCATTACATGCTGAACTACACCCTTTAAAAGAAATATATATCCATATTATAAAATCATAAGCAGGGTGAGAGGGAGGGGATAAGGTGTGGGGATTATAACCTGTAATCCCAAATATCCAATACAGAAGTAAATTAATTATGAAAAAAAATGTATTTCTTGTTAGTAAGTAAATCGAGTAAATATTCTGTAATGTTGACATGAACTGCCTGTTTTTCAGAGAGTGGGGTGGGGTGTGTAGGCAGACATAATCACCACTCCCTTAAAAGCACATCTTCATCCCCACTTTCGTAGCATTTCATAGCAAGAATTTCAATCTTCTCTTGAAATACTGAAAATCTATCAAAAAATCCAAACATTTTATCAGATCAACATTTTAACAGTTTTTAAGAAAGAAACAAAAAATACTCACCAACACATACCACTTCGTTGATTGAAGACTGAACACAAAATTTACCTTCCACACATGGTGCAGGTTGATCATTACATGTTGCTGTACAATAAATAAAAAATCCATTAAAATGCAAGTACACTGCATAATGTTCAATAAAATATCCTTATCTGTATAAGATTTATATAGATTTATGGACTAAATATAATGAAAGGAATGTTTGTGACAGTTGTGTGGGACTTGATAACCTTAATCACCATAGCCAATATTCTGTTTTCTAGTATGAACATAGATTTACAAATAATCTTCCAATAGGCAAACTGAAGTTTTTTGACATGTGACAATATATGCCCAATATAAATTGGGCATATAAAAGAACTATTTAATACAAAAATGCATTGTGGGGTTGGTATGGCCTAGTGGTCTACAGGGCCGCGCTTCGACTCTAGCTGGCCGGTCATCTCTGGCTTGCGGCTGTGGTTTCGATCCCTGGTGTAAGGGGCGCCTTCTCAACCTCGTGGGTTTACTCCGTGTACTCCGGTTTCCTCCCACAGGAAAGACCCCTGCGCGTGCACTAAGATAATATAAATGAAAAATAAAACTTGTCTGCGATATCACCTTCGGTGGAAGCGGACGTTTATAAACACTAAGAACAACAAAGATGTATTATGTACGATTTAGATAAAAAGCTGACTGTTCTTGTTATAATAGTTGAATAATAGATAATTCAAAATGAACATATTGAAAATTTCATTCAAATTACTTTATTCTGAACGACGTTATCACTGTTTGAAGTTATGACAAGATGTGGCATAGATTATTTATTATTGTAACAATGGTACTTATTATTCGAAATTTTGTGCTCCATCCAAATAACTAGAAAGATTCGGCGGCGCTATTGCACTTTCGTACCTCTACCAGTTCCCGTGGTCATAGGCACTTGAAATTTTCAGAGGATGTTAAGGGGGGCTAGCAATGACCACACACCAAATTTCAGCCAAATCGATAAATAACTTTTTATTTTACGGACCTTTTAGTTTCTAACGAGAGAGAACTTCATCCGTTTGACGCCATTTGCTTTGTTTACTAATTAGACTTGAATAACAAGACACTAAGACGGAAACCGACTCGAATAACAAGACACTTAGACGGAAACCGACACACTGCACTAGCTGCCTAACACTGCAGTTCATAAAAATTAATATAATTTTCGTATACTTTAATTTTTGCGCGAAGCCACCATTTTCTATAAAATACTATTTGGTGTTGATCAGTGGATTGGCCTTTAGGTGTAAATATTGCCGTGACCTTGATTTTGACCTTGAGGCCAAACTTCCCATCCATATCGGGGCCTTTGCGTTTATGCTTGCCGTGGCCTTATTTCTTACTGTATTATCAAAGTTAATGTTCGAGGTGAAAGCAGAGATGACGTCCTTCAGAAAAGATAGTTGGGTCAAAGTCGTAGGTCAAGGTCATGTTACAGAAAACTAAACTCAAACTTTTCAAAGTCATTTTTGGGACATTTGACCTTGACTTACGACCTTGACCCCGTAACCATTTTCGAAGGTTATCACATTGGCTTGAATCATGAACGTTTAACTTGGTCCTGTCGCACACTGCTCGGTCAGAAAACGGTCAAACGCAGAGGGTCCGTGTCCGAAAGGAAGTCAATGGGCGTGGTCAATGTGAAAGGTCGTGGTGACCTCCACTAGTCACCGTTAACCATCCGTAACCTTGACTCTGACCTTGAGTCCAAACGTCCCATCCATCTCGGGCCCTTTGCGTTTATGCTTGCCGTGGCCTTATTTCTAACTGTATTATCAAAGTTAATGTTCGAGGTGAAAGCAGAGACGACGTCCTTCAGAAAAGATACTTGGGTCAAAGTCGTAGGTCAAGGTCATCTTACAGAAAACTAAACTCGGACTTTTCAAAGTCAGTTTTGGGGCATTTGACCTTGACTTACGACCTTGACCTCGTAACCATTTTCGAAGGCTATCACCTTGGCTTGAACCATCGACGTTTACTTTGGTCCTGTCGCACACTGTTTGGTCAGAAAAGGGTCAAACGCAAAGGGCCCGTGTCCGAAAGGAAGTCAATGGGCGTGGTCAATGTGAAAGGTCGTGGTGACCTCCACTAGTCACCTTTAACCATCTGTGACCTTGACTTTGACCTTGAGTCCAAACTTCCCATCAATCTCGGGTCCTTTTCGTTTATGCTTGCCGTGACCCTATTTCTTACTGTATTATCAAAGTTAATGCTTGAAGTGAAAGCAGAGACAACGTCCTTCAGAAAAGTTAAAAGGTCAAAGTCGTAGGTCAAGGTCTTGTTACAGAAAACTAAACTCAAACTTTCAAAGTCAGTTTTGGGACATTTGACCTTGACTTACGACCTTGACCTCGTAACCATTTTCGAAGGCTATCACCTTGACTTGAACCATCGACGTTTACTTTGGTCCTGTCGCACACTGTTCGGTCAGAAAAGGGTCAAACGCAAAGGGCCCGTGTCCGAAAGGAAGTCAATGGGCGTGGTCAATGTGAAAGGTCGTGGTGACCTCCACTAGTCACCTTTAACCATCTGTGACCTTGACTTTGACCTTGAGTCCAAACTTCCTATCCATCTCGGGCCCTTTTCGTTTATGCTTGCCGTGACCCTATTTCTTACTGTATTATCAAAGTTAATGCTTGAGGTGAAAGCAGAGACAACGTCCTTCAGAAAAGTTAAAAGGTCAAAGTCGTAGGTCAAGGTCATGTTACAGAAAACTAAACTCAAACTTTCAAAGTCAGTTTTGGGAAATTTGACCTTGACTTACGACCTTGACCTCGTAACCATTTTCGAAGGCTATCAACTTGGCTTGAATCATGGGCGTTTACCTTGGTCCTGTCGCACACTGCTCGATCAGAAAACGGTCAAACGCAGAGGGGCCCATGCCCGAAAGGAAGTCAAGGGCGTGGTCAATGTGAAAGTTCGTGGTGACCTCCACTAGTCACCTTTAACCATACGTGACCTCGACATCGACCTTGAGTCCAAACTGGTAGAGGTACGAAAGTGCAATAGCGCCAAAGATTCAAGGACAAACAAATCAATTGTCCAGAATTTGCAGACATAGGCCTCAATACTGGGTTTCGGATAGACTAATCACCAGAATTCACATATAAACACTGGAATTCACTTACAAACACCAGAATTCACCGGAAATCACTTTGAAGATATCAGAATTCACCTGCAAGATCTTCCTATTTACTTATATTTTGCATTGTATTAATATTGAATACCGGTAACTTAAAAAACACCGAAAATCCCCAAATTTCACTTTGAAAACATATAAACACTGGAATTCACTTTTAAACTATCGGAATTCGCACTTAAGACCTTAATAATAATAATAATAATCTATTTATAAAGCACTGAATATCCTAATCACTAATATTTTGCATTAATATTAATTACTTTAAAACACCTAAAATCACTTTGAAAACATATCAACACCGAAATTCACTTTCAAAATATTGGAATTCGCACTTAAGACCTTCCTATTTCCTAATATTTGACATTAATAATAAATTACTTTAAAGCACAAAAAATCACCGGAATTTACATTAAAATCATATAAACACCGGAATTCACTTTCAAAATATCAGAATTCGCACTTAAGACCTTCCTATTTAATAATAGTTTGAATTAATAAATTACTTTAAAACACCGGAATTCACTTTGAGAAAAGCGGAATTCGTCCCCAAGACAATTGTATTTATTTATATTTTGCATTAATATTGATACTAGAATGTATCTGTTGTAAGTAGTTAAAAGAAATAAAAAAAATCCCATAAAAACAAGTCAAGAACTTGATCATTAATACATCTAGTGAAGCAGTTAAAATGATATTTCTAGATGGTCAACTCGGTAAAGACAATATATATGATTAGAACACAGCAGTATTCCATGTAAAATGTCAAACCAAACATTTCTCGAATGTCACTTGCAATTATTTCTATAATCGTTGTCTTTAATACCTTATCAATAATCATGGCTACTCATAGAATGATCAAATACTCTAGTAGGTCCTTTATTGGGGTCCATTCTCAAAGTGAATTCCGGTGTTTAAAAGTAATTTATTATTAATGCAAAATATTAGTAAATTGGAAGGTCTTTAAGTGCGAATTCCGATATTTTGAAAGTGAATTCCGGTATTTATATGCTTTCAAAGTGAATTCTGGTGATTTTTGGTGTTTTTAAGTAATTCATTATTAATAAATATTAATATTAATACAAAATATATGTAAATAGGAAGGCCTTGCATGCGAATTCTGTTTTTTTTAAAAAGTGAATTCCGTTGAATTCTGGTGTTTATAAGTGAATTACGGTGTTTATAAGTGAATTTCGGTGATTAGTCTACCTGCTCCACAGTGCTGCGTTCTTACAGTTTTCATTTCAGTATGGTCATGTATAGCACATATGAATAACAATTAACCCTACATAAGCTTACATTTTTTCTGTTGTCTGTTATGTGTGATTATATATACCAAGTAGGTTCTTTTGTAAAGTAATTCATAGAGCATTCTGCAAGTCAATGACCATATTTAATTGTAACGGTTATAAAATCCCAAGCACAACAATAGCTATCATTAACATAATATCTAACAGATAAATCTCATATTATACAAATATATTCCATACAACCATAAATGTTAATAAATGGTATTGTGTTGACTAAAAGAATTATATAATGATTAAGATATATATCAAATGTTGAAAAAAGCATCTGAATTATAATGTATAATCGTTTCATTTATAGACACAGTCTCAGGAAAACAAATCCCCTTTATTGTGCATTTTTTAGTTTATTATTGAAGTAGAAATGGGAGTAATACTTAAGGGTAGAGTTTTTATAATGCCTGATACCACTTATCATTTGAGGAGTATTAAGATAGCTTAATAAAATATTGTAACACTTTCTGACAGATTCCAGGTAAAGAAATGAATACTTAAATCAGATATGAAATACAACAAGTAGGCCAAATATATCAATCACTAACAGTAATTATTTTATTTGCAGAAATTATTGATCAAGGACTTCAGTATAATTAACAAGAGATATACCTTTCCTTTTCTGTCATTTTCTCCGAGAATAGGCCATGCATTACATCATGTACATGTATATAATATCAACGCAAATGAAATCGATATTGCTATAGCTAGTGCGTCCATAGAAACATGTCATAATATAACTAGAAGGAAGTGCAAAGATTGCTATAACTCACTGAAAATATACCACGGTTAAAAAAACACGATTATCAATGTCCAATGCTTACTATCCAATATACACATATCCCAATTCAATCAAATAGTAACCTCACCTGCTTGTGTTGAATGAACTAAAATCGTTATCAAGATAATCCCTGGTCCAAATAACAACCTCATTCTTTATCTGTTCAATATTTATCCTCGCGTCTGTGTGAAAACCCGTTCTAACATTTCTATCTATTCGTGATAATCATTAATTTGTTAATTTTACAGAAAATCTCATTGAATATTTACCGTTGTGTTCGTACTAACAGATTGGTGCCACTGAACTGATTAATGAATAAGGAATCCAAGAACAACAACTCTTCCACACGACGCAATACTACAAAGCTTAACGAACAATGATAGCAAAACTTATATAAACGTCGAAAATAACTGCACTTTTTGAATGCCAACTGTTCAACATTGACGACAAATAGTATGTTCCCAGAACTTTTCACCTAAACTGTTCTATTTTTAGAAGGTAAATCGCTTCAAGAAGCGCGTAATACACAGCCAACACGCAGCAGCAAGAATAGGCATGTCGCGTATACGAGTTAACGGTATATGTATGTCGTCTGACTGGGAAAGTCTATAACAATAATATAACTAGGCGTGGTGTAACAAACACGATTGGCCATCATGTCATTAATGATTTAATCCCAAACTTGATTTAATCCGATCAAACCAGGCGTAATCCAACGCTGATCAAATTAACGACTGATTGACAAACGCTGCAATTAATTAATCTATGCCTTGGTTAATTATAATTAAAGGAATTGTACACTGATACTTTCAAGATTAAAGTATTAAATATAAAGGTGCATAGGTTGTTTTTTCGAAAAGAAAATACATTGCAGTATAAAAAATGTTGTGGTGTTTTTGTGGTGGGGTTTTCAGAAAAGAAAAGCTATTAAACAGATTTATCTAACTTACCACTTATGGTAGAAACAAAGGTACCCAAATTAGTCTATTATTTTTATTCCAAAGCATGAGATTAAACTAATAAAACTTTTTAAATTTAAAATGTCAGCTGGGAATTGGGTTCATTCATTCGTGACACATTATCAATACATCTTCATGTTGCTATATTATTCGGAGTGGTTTCCCCTTGTCAGTGATGCAAGATGGAGGGCCTGACAAGGACAACTGTCTAGTCATTCGAATGGGACAACAAAACAAGGTCCTGTGCACGTAAAAGATCCTTTGACAGTTGGAATTCGATATCAGAGTAGCCTGTAGTGCCGCTGTCTGGGCAAAATTTCCCGCATAGCACACTGTATGGTGTATGCCCGTCTTCATTAGCCCAGTTTGGAGCAGAACATTAAACCCCATTTCATTTCATTTCTGTTACGTTATTATCCAGTGATGTACTGCACAGCTATGAAATAAACACTCCATGTTTTAATTGTAGATTATAAATAAAACCTCAAACTCATCATACCAAATGCAACCTCACTCGTGGATAAAGACAATTTGCTGATTATTTACTTTATATATAATATACAGCCAAATTAAAAACTTGACACTCAGGATTTTTGGGACTAGATTTTTAATATTTGGTTTAAGGCAACTATTTTAGTGTTATGTTGTGCACAGACGACCTTGACATCAACACAAAGCAAGAATACGTCTCGCCGAAAGTCCTTGACATTGATAACGTTCGTGATGTCACAGTACCCCCCAAAATGAAATTAACAGACTTGGAGAACAATCGGAATAAAGTGTTTAGTAACGGTTGTGGCCCAGATGTGTTCAATAGGATTAAGGTCAGGGCTAAGCGACGGCCAATCCAGGACTTGGACACCAGCATTTCTTAAAAAATTCTGGGTAGCAATTGCTGTATGGGGTCGAGCATTGTCTTGTTGAAACGTTAGTCCAGGCCCATGTCTCTGCATAATCGGAAGAAGAACAGGTTGCAAAATCTGATCCCTGTACTGGACAACATTTGAGTTCCCTTGGACAACAACAAGAAGAGAATGTCCATGTGCACAAAAAGAACCCCAAACCATGACGCTGCCGCCACCAAATCAGTCAACTTCTCTGACGCATACTTGAGCGTAACGTTCACCTCGTCTGCGGTACACTCGGACCCTGCCATCGGCAAATCTCAAAGTGAATCGAGATTCGTCACTAAAGACAACCGAATTCCACTGTCTTTGAGTAAATGTTATGTGTCTTGTGGCCCACACAAGTCGGTTACGGCGATGAAGAGGTGTCAATATTGGTCCATTATAGGGCCTCCGAGCTCGAAGACCAGCAGCCTGCGAGCGATTTCGACCAGTTTGTGCAGTTACCCTTCCACCAAACATCTCTCTACTTGTGGAGGTTGCAGTGACAAATCTGTTTCTAAGATGACGTAATCGTATTGCTTGATCTTCCTGGAGTGACGTCACACGTGGCGCTCCCGCCCCTTGGGTGGTCGGCAATAGTTCCAGTTTGAAGCACTCTCATTCTAAGATTAATTATTGTCTGGCGTGAACAATTAAAGGCTCTTGCAACAGTGACCACAGACTGACCAGCATAGAGCCTACCTATAGCACGTAGACGTTCTACATTTGAAAGGCGCAGCATTTTCTAACAAAGATGAAAATAACAATTTTAATTTATTTTTCCAGTTCAAGTTACATGTGCGTGTTCAGTTTAAGCAAACTTGCATTGATTGACCTCACGAGTTTGTGTTTGCACTGTTTTTCATCTTTATATGCTCAAAAGTCACGTGATCCACGTGACTTTACAATTTTATGAAATTAAAGGCTTCTTACTACTTACTATCGTTAGAAACACTTTAAAATTTATTTGACTTACCAGAAAAAATTTGTTGAAATTCATCATTGTCAAGTTTTTAATTTGGCTGAGTATAGATGTGTTGACTTATTTGATATCAAGAAATATTTGTATGTCATGCATAAATTTGGTGCATGTTGTAAATCACAACATTCTGGTTGATAGTTAAAGTTACAATTATGAATGTCTCTGAACTCTGAATGCAGTGTGAGATAACAGAGCTGTATCACAGATTCAAGTTCAACTGGACAGACTTGGTATGGTAAATCTTCATTCCAAAATGAATTTAAAACTTAGATGATTTGTATTAGTCTCAGGCTAATTAATAAGGGGGGGGGGGGCAACGTGCCCATAAAGCCAAGTGACATTGGTTGGGCTGCCCTCCGCTAGCTACGGGCCTGTATACAAACATTTTGTTGCATTGTTTGTTTGTTGCCTTCAGATCAACCTGCCAATCAAAACTTGTAATACAGAAAAGTCCAGTCTCTTGAAAAGCCTTGGTTATCCAGACACGTGAATAGCTGTATAATCCAGGTCAAAAATACTAAGACACAATGAAAACACATCACTTTTATAAATGGATGATTTAAAATACTTTACTTATTGCAATTCTGAATGTAAGAACAACAATAATGTTGAATCCATTCATACTTAACGCCATTGAGTTCACCGTTTAGACAGACCAACACATCACCGACAGTGGTAGTTACCACAATGGCATGGTGTACTCCTCTCTAATAAATCAAGATTTCACACAAAACAATGACTGCATTGTGCAAACAGATCAATGGGGTGGAGGAAGTGCAACCATTTTGGGAGCCTTTAGCTACCATTACAGGACACAGCCTTATGTCTGTAGAGGCAGAATGAACGCCCAGTACTACAGGACATTTTAGCATCACAATGATCACAGCATGTGCCTCAGTGGATATCTGAAAACAAAACAATATGGCAGTGCTTGTACAGCCATCCTATTCCCCTGATCATTACCAACCAATCATTTATGTAACAACACTGAACATCAAGTCTTCCACGATCTGCAATGGCAAAATCTATGTCAACGGGAATCAACATTTCAACAAGAGAAATGAAAATGAAATGGAGTTTAACGTCCTACTGTTCTGCTCCTAAACTGGGCTAATGAAGTATGCCATACAGTGTGCTGAGGGACATTTTTGCCCGGGCAGCGGCGCTACAGCCTACTCTTATATTGAATTCCAACTGCCGAGGGATCTTTTACGTGCACACCAATATGTACACAGGATCACGGTTTTTCATCCCATCTGAATGACTAGACAGCTGTGCTTGTCAGGCCCTCCGTCCTGCATCACTGACAAGGGGAAACCACACCGGAATTCCAACTGCCGAGGGATCTTTTACGTGCACATCAATATGTACACGGGACCACGGTTTTTCATCCCATCTGAACGACTAGACAGCTGTGCTTGTCAGACCCTCCGTCCTGCATCACTGACAAGGGGAAACCACGCCGGAAAATCTGGATGAACTTTCTCGGCCAATGCAGGGATCGAACACCCGACCTCCAGGCTAGCGAGCCAGCATCTTACCCACGTGATCCCACTTGCAACAAGAGTGCCGGAGAGAATTTTCCCTTTGCAGCAAATGAGTTATAAATACCAAACGATCTTGTATATGCAGTATACATTGGCATGACTTCATTGTCTGTCCCCCACAACTTAAATACTAGACACTGTGTTGCTAGCTATGTGGCCATTTAATATTAATAGAATTGACATTCATCATACATAGGCTTTACTAAACATTCACCAATACTGCACATAAAAAAACCCAGTTTCTGTTTGTATAAAGATTTTTTTATTTATTTTAGATGAGGTATGTACAATGATCCATGCTGATATGAAACATGTATAATATATAGTGATATAAGTATTCAGTAACAAATGTTTGTGTTATAATTTTATGGCTCTGGCATAAATTATCAAACAATAAAAAAGACATTTCCTATATCTGCAGTTGACATGGCTCTTACTATACCCAATACTAGTGACACTCATTTTGCTCACAATTTGAGTACAGTAGTCTATTCTTAGAAATGATGTAAAGGTTATCTACTGAACTGATCAGGCATAATTTATACAAATTACAAATAACCTGTCAGAATCCAATATTTGTAAACTCATTAAAGGAGCTAAATCGCTAATATTTAGGACCTAGAAATTGACACCAATGTATCGCAATGCATATAATAATGTAATATGAATGTATATAAACTGATTTACATTCCATCATTTCCGTTTTTACTCTAATCTCAAATCAATTATGTCCGGCGAAATAAGCCAGAAGTCTCAATTGAATGGCAATCTTTAGCGTCTGGTTATTCCAGTCTACATCAATATTATTTATGATGCATTCTCTCCAGATAAGAATATGATGTCACCGTTTGACATGACATGTGGAATAATGTCTAGATTCGTTCTTCAGGCCCCTTGTTACAAATGGTGCTGAAATGCACTATGGTACATGATTCGTGTACCAATGGTAAAATGTTTATTTTGTCTTAAATATTGGATATCAGAAGCTCATCTTTTCCCCGTAAGATTACAACATCAATGTTGATTTAAATTGACAAATAATTCGTTTTTTCAATATCGAAGACTTTGGATGATATTGAGTTAGAGACTTAGCTACTTTAAAATATTACTGTGATAGGATCATTTAAAGATGTATTATGTAAGAACTAAATCTGCCTAATGCAGATATTTCATTTGGCCTCAAATGTTATATAAAGCATTCATTAGACAACACTCGAGAACATCGAATGCTTTTGATTTTCATCGGATTTAAACACGATTATTATTTAAAAATTTAATTATCTTACATAATGCATCTTTAAGTGTTCCTTTTAAAGTGTAAAAATTGACAATTGTTTGTTTTTAAATTGAAGGAAGATAGGTTGCCAGGCAACGAAACATACGCCCACAGCAGCTAACTCGTCCGGGCAGTCAACAAGAGTTGTCACATATTTTTACTTTTTTCGGTAATGAAACATTTATAATACATTAAAATCTGATTAAGAGTAACAACTCATTAAGTAATTATCAGAAAACCAATAGAATTTATTTGGTTTTTATAAAGTTTTGCCCCATGCTAACGTTTAGTATAGGAAACTTTTAACATCATGGATTTAGCTGTTCAAGTCCTAAGAATTCATTGAAAATCAGCATACTGGTTTGTCTCAAGACCTTACACTCTGTGTATGAATCTGAAGTCAATCGGATGATAACTTTAGCTTCTAGAGGGTCACAAGGTTTTTAAAAATGATCAAGGGCCATAACTTTGGCAGTAATTATCAGAAATCGTTGTAAATCAATATGATTCTTCGTCTCATGACCTCAAACACTCTGTATCAATTTAAAGTCAACTGGATATTAACTTTAGCCTCTAGAGCATTTACAAGATTTTTTGAAGTGATCAAGGGCCATAACTCTGGCAGTAATTATCAAAAATCTCTGAAAATGAAATAAACTTCTTCGTCTCATGACCTTAAACACTGTGTATAAATTTAAACTCAATCGGATATTAATAGCCTCTAGAGCGTAAACAAGATTTTTCAAAGTGATCAAGGGCCATAACTCTGGCAGTAATTATCGGAAATTGCTGAAAATCAATAGCATTCTTCATCTCATGACCTTAAACACTGTGTATAAATTTAAAATCAATCGGATATTAACTTTGACCTCTAGAGTGTCCATAAGATTTTTTGAAGTGATCAAGGGCCATAACTCTGGAAGTAATTATCGGAAATCGCTGAAAATCAATAGGCTTCTTCATCTCATGACCTTAAACACTGTGTATAAATTTAAAGTCAATCGGATATTAACTCTGACCTCTAGAGCGGCCACAAGATTTTTTGAAGCGATCAAGGGCCATAACTCTGGAAGTAATTATTGGAAATCGCTGAAAATCAATAGGCTTCTTCATCTCATGACCGTAAACACCGTGTATAAATTTAAAGTCAATCGGATATTAACTCTGACCTCTAGAGCGTCCACAAGATTTTTTGAAGCGATCAAGGCCCATAACTCTGGCAGTAATTATCGGAAATCGCTGAAAATCAATAGGCTTCTTCGTCTCATGACCTTAAACATTGTGTATAAATTTAAAGTCAATTGGATATTAACTTTAGCCTCTAGAGCGTCCACAAGCAATTGTGGACGCCGGACCGTCAGACGGACGGACAGGGGCGACGACAATATACGACCACATTTCAATGTGGGCGTATAAAAAGTAAACTTATCAAATCAACATTCTATTGGTTACTCACTAAAAACATTAATTCTTAGAAATATAAAATAAAGTATATATCTGCTTTAAATTTATAATAATTTTAAATTAAAGCCATTTAATTAAACATAATCATTTAAGCACCCTTTAAGTTTTAGTTAGACATACTATTTATAAAGGGCTCCTCTTTGATTTCGCATATTAGAATGGTTGATTTTATTTAATATCCACCCAACATGCTCAAATAAAGATTCCGATTATAACAGTAGATTAGAACTGTGTATCAGCAATGTCAGTTAACATTAGAAAAAAGACCTCAATTGGATATCAAAATTCTAATCAATTTTAAACCAATTACAACAATCAAAAAATATTTAATGCAAAATTTGTCATTGGATACACAATATAATTGGTGAACACACACTTTATATTTCAATTTCTGTTTTACATAAGAATAAGAGTTAATAAGAAGTAAGTTATTACCTATGACATTTTCAGAATTAGTCAGTTATAAAACTGCTTCACAGAATCGTTAACATATACTTTTGATCCAAAACAAAATCTACTTTTACTTATAGATGTACTTAATTCCTTACAGTCACAATCATCAATGGTTTCTTCATAAGACCATTTCTCCATAGATTCCCTCTTGTTTCTAAAATACATTGCATTACACATCGGCTTGGTATCTTTAACCTCACATTGACCAAAATAAACACATCGAGGGATGATACATTTTCCACTGAATTTCCCTCAAGTAAAAAATCCATTAAAGAAAACAAGTTTGAGCCATTACATTCCATGCAATGCCTTAAAATTAACTGAAAATTCAACTGGGTCAGTGAATATCAGAAATAGGTCACCTGGATGCCACACAATCATCATTTTCATTTTAAGAATTTAATGATCAATTCATGATTATTTCTGCTTTTTTTTCTTCTTTTTTACAAGTCTTGTTATAAAAATTTGATTACACATCACTTCTCCATAATTTAATAGTTTTATCATTTTCCAAAGCTGCGGAAGCGATTATATTTTCCGTAGGATGGCAAGCACAACACAACACAACATCTGAAATAAATTTGAAAGATATTTAAGACATGTTTAAATCTTATAAAGATGCATTATTATGTAAGAGCTAAATCTGTCTATTTCAGTAATACTACAGGTCTTTATTTTGGCTTCAAGTGTTACATTATGACATTATTCAATTTACATGACAGGCCTATAATCAACTCACTAGACTACCTGGTGAACGAGATATAAAAATATTATGATGAAATGCATAATCGAGACTTAGTCCTGATTGTCAAGTACCAATACCACTATAATAAACAATCTATGCTACATCTTCAAACACTCATAACTATGCTCAGAATAAAGTAATTTGAATAAAGTTTTCAATATATTCAATTTTCATTATCTTTTTTTGAACTATTATAGAAATAACTGCCAGCTCTTTATCTAAATCTTACATAATGCATCTTTAAAGAAACTATTATTGCATAAGATTTTATATTATGATTAGGCAATGCCATTTAATTCGTAGAGACAAAGAAATTTATCCCTTATGGATATTTTTCCGACATCTGTCTACCTAGATTTCTGAATTTTATTTACAATTAACACAAAATCTAACAATGGGAATAAACTTCATCTTCCATAATACATGAATGTAGACTGAGATTTAATGAAAACACACCAATACTTTGAATTGAAGTGCCGCCTAGACATAATGCAACTGAAATCTACAACCCATGGAGGACTTAGTCTTTACATTAAAGTAAAATGTAGGCACAAAGGGTAAAAATCAAGTCAGTAACGATGTGAGTCAGAATTGGTTCAACGTGGGCATACGCCACACAATGTACAATGAGGGAAAGTTTGCTCGGACAGTGCTGCTATGGCCTACTCTTGTAAATTCCAATGGCCAAGGGATCTTTCACATGCACGCCAATCGACATGGCACCTTGATTTCTCGTCCCATTCAAACAACTAGACAACTGTCCTTATCAAGCCCTCCGTCTTGCACCACTGACAAGGGGAAAATCTTGATGAACTTTCTCAGGTAACACCGGAAGTGAATGTGCGACCTCCAGACTAGCATCTTACCCACTTAGCCACTGTGGCTCCCCTCCTTGCTTAACAATAGGGGCTCTATTTACAGACAAACATACCTGTGTGTCCTTGTAATTTCTGTACAATTTCTTTTGTTTGGAGATTCCAAATAAACACCACATTGTCTTCTGATCCTGATACAATCCACTGTAAATAAATTAATTTTTGTTTTATACCAGACTTTATATTTGCTTTTCTTTATTTATGCATTCGATCAATTATACAGTGAAATAAAACACAGCATTTAGACCAATACACATACTTTACTTGGTGATCTTCAAAATTCTTAAATGAACTATGACAAATTATCTCCTTATGAGTAAAAGTAAATAAACTTATGTTTGCTTGAAACAAAACAAAACTCCAGAAATGTTCATCAAAATTATTATGTGAACAGATTGATGGATTTACAGGTGACAATATATGTCCAATATAAATTTGGTGCATAAAAAGAACTATTTAATTCAAAGATGCATTATATAAGATTTAGACAAGCCAACAGTGAGGCTGCTGTCCCCCGCTGAAATCCCAAAAAAAATCGCATATTTATTTTTTTCAAAAGCATCGAACAATCAAACTATACACTAAGTTTCATCACTCTCTATCAGATAGAATCAAGATTATCTTGTCCCAAAGCATCGACCAATGAAATTGATTAGCTCTGCTTAGCTTTAGCTCGAAATGTTAATCATTGAACTCAGTCAAGACATTCACCTAATGAACATCTACATCAAGTTTAAACATTCTACTTCAATTAAAAGCAGAGTTGTTATGTTCCAAAGTCTTGACCAATGAAATTGCTTATCGCTTCTTAGCCTAAGCAGAAAATTTGCACCATCAAACTTAGTCTAGGTCATGATATAATGAATCTGTATTCAGAGTTTCATCGCTCTCACTTCATTATAACCAAAGTTATCGTGCCCCAAAGCATCAACCAATCAGATTGCTTATCTCTGCTTACCGTAATTAGAAGGAGAGTTATTGCGTTCCAAAGTCTCGGCCAATCAAATTGCTTATCGCTCTGCTTACCTTGAGAAGAAAAGGCTCATTATCGAACTTAGTCAAGGTAGTGATGTAATGAAACTATACACCAAGTTTCATCGTGTCCCAAAGCATCAACCAATCTAATTGCTTATCTCTGCTTACCCTAAGCAGAAATTGCTCATCTTCAAACTCCATCAAGGTACTGACCTTATAAACACTTACACCAAGTTTGAACATTCTAGCTACATTAGAAAGAGTTATTGTGTCCCAAAATGTGTGATGGACAGATGGACGGACTGACAGACACAGACAGACGGACGAACCCATTTTAATAGTCCCCTGCTTTCTTCGAAAAGCGGGGACAATAAAGAGTTGGCCTTTGTAGTTTTAATAGTTCAAAAATAGATAATGAAATATGAATACATTGAAACTTTTTTTCAAATTATTTTATTCTGCGTGAAGTTATGAGTGTTTGAAGATTAGTTCGAACAAGATATAGCGTAGACTGTTTTTTAAGTCTCAATTATCCATTTCATCGTTAAAATTTTAAAGATGCCTTCCCACATACAAACCGGGTGATTTGATGTTATATTTGGACTAAAAACATATTCAAACTAATTAATCTATCAAAACTTTGCTTCAAATCCCTCTCAAAACGATGTGATCGCGAGAAAATACCCAAAGAAATAAAAAATCTATTTTTCAAAGCCATGTTTGTCATGTAACTTGATTTAGGGAGGGCTCATTTTCAGAATGTATTTGTCGTTACTGACTGTCCATTTGCCATACATATAGAAGCCTGAGTAAATTCTTGGATTATCTTCTGCCAACTTCTTTTCCGCTGCTTAATTGCAGAGTCATTTGTGCATTTAAACCCTTAAATGTTCCCAAAACCGCCTTACCATTCGATCAAGAAATAACAAGCACTCCCTAAATCAAGCTGGCTGACAATAAACCGCCGGGTTGCCGGTTAGTGATACTCTGACATTTATGCCCAGTGCTCATGCATGTTTTTCAGGGAATCTGGTAGTTTTCTAGTAAGATTGGGTGTCTCTACTTTCCATTTATACCAAATTTGCCATTCTTCTATTGGAAATAACTACCCTATAAATACTTTCGTGAAAATGCATCTTTAAATCTCGCAGGCATTGTGATGTAATTGTACCGGTAAATAAATGTCTAAATAATAGTTTATATAAGATTTTGAAGCCAAAATAAAAACCTACAAAAGGCAGATATAGCTTACAAAATGCATCTATAAATAAGAAATCTGTCCACTACAATGAACAATGGAGAATCAGTTCCTATCTTCCCTATTTTTTAAAAGGCTTAATGTCTTACTTTTAAGAAAGGATGTATATAGGGTAGAAATGAATACAGAATAATATAAATAATATTACATACCTTTCCACCAGTTACTGAGAAATTAGCAAAAATACAGTACTTTTCATTTTTATGTCCAACATATGTTTTCAAACACTTAAAGATAAAAAGACCAAATTTTAATAGCATCATTTTTAAATTACGATAATCAACAATAGATGTCATTCTTAATCACAAATGTCCTGAAATGAAATGAAATTGGGGTTTAGCGTCCTACTGGGCTAATGAAGACGATCATATGCCATGCAGCGCTGGCTATGGCCTACTCTTATTTCAAATTCCAACTGTCAAGGGTTATGTGCACGACAATATGTACATGTGACCTCCATTTTTCGTCTCACCCGAACAACTATACGCTGTCCCTTGCCAGGCCCTCCATCCTACACCACTGACAAGGGGGAACCACACCGAAAAGTCCCAGATGAACCTTCTTGGCCAAGTGATCAAATACAGGTTAGCAAGTCAATGTCCTACTCACTGAGCCACCACAAATGTCTTATTATCAAGAAAAGAATAAATCTTGGTAATATTGATGAATATGGTTAATTAGCCATAATTTCCTGTTCTTTTAAAAATGAAAATATTTTATTATATGAAACTAGCATAAACAGTGAACATGTACCATATTGACGGTTTTAAATATTTTTGACCATAACGAATACCGTTTTATAAACAGTTAAGATGACACTAACCTTTCCTTTGCTGTAATCCCATAGTTTGAGTGTACTGAAAAATTTAAAAATATAAATACATGTAAATTTTGTTGAACTTCCATAAAATCTCCCACCCCAGTAGGTCAAGATAATAATTTACTGCAAAGACAATGTTAAGTTAATGAATGCAGTCATGCAGGAGTAAGGCGCACTTTCGCGCACACGCACCTAAACAGCCACCGAGGTGCGTTTTTTTGCGGGTTTTTCATTCCCCTCAGATGTTGAAATAGCTCCTCTTATTTCAACCAGCGGCTGCCAGGCAGCATATCCCATACATTTTTGCGAGATGGATAGAGAACAAGCTAAAAAGAAAGTGATTTTCCCAACAATCAAGGGCCATAATTCAGGAAATTACAATTCGATGTGCGCAAATACCGAAAGGAACCAAGATCTTTGGGTTATAAACTTATATTTCAAGTTTCAACAAAATCGGATTAAAATTGTGACCACTATAGGGTCCAAAACCTTGATATACCATATTTTTACACTATTTGAGAACGAACGGCGGCCATTTTGTATGTCAGTTTTGGGCCGATTTTCCCGAAATTCGAACTCAGCCGTCCTTAGGGTGTAACGGTGATATAATAATACGTTTTTTTCAATCAGATAAAAATTATGACCTCTATAGGGTCCACAAGCTAAAAACGTGATTTTTCGTACTATCAGGGGGCATAATTCAGGAAGTTATAGTCCGATATGCACGAATATCGAAAGGAACCAAGATCTTTGGGTTATAAACTTACATTTCAAGTTTCAACAAAATCGGATAAAAATTGTGACCTCTATAAGCTTGATATACCATATTTTTACGATATTTGAGAACGAACAGCGACCATTATGTCTGTCAATTTTGGACCGATTTTCTCGAAATTTGAACTCAGCCGTCCTTTTTTTAAATCGGATAAAAATTATGACCTCTATAGGGTCCACAAGCTAAAAACGCAACTTTCCGTACAATCGGTGGCAATAATTCAGGAAGTTAAGGTCCGATATGCGCGAATATCAAAAGGAACCGAGATCTTTGGGTAAAAAACTTACATTTCAAGTTTCAACACAATGGGATAAAAATTGTGACCTCTACAGGGTCCACAACTTTGATATACCATATTTTGACACTATTTGAAAACGAATGGCGGCCATTTTGTCTGTCAATTTTGGGCCGATTTTCACAAAATTTGAACTCAGCTGTCCTTGGGGTGTAACAGTGATATAATGTGTTTTTTTAAATCGGATAAAAATTATGACCTCTATAGGCTCCACAAGCTAAAAGCGCGATTTTTCGTACAATCAGGGGCCATAATTCAGGAAGTTATGGTCCGATATGCGCGAATATCGAAAGGAACTAAGATCTTTGGGTTATAAACTTACATTTCAAGTTTTAACAAAATCGGATAAAAATTGTGACCTCTATAGGGTACACAACCTTGATATACCATATTTTTACTTATTTGAGAACAAACGGCGGCCATTTTGTCTGTCAATTTTAGGCCGATTTTCACGAAATTTTTCATACAATCAGGGGCCATAATTCAGGAAGTTACGGTTCAATATGCGCGAATATCGAAAGGAACCGAGATCTTTGGGTTATAAACTTACATTTCAAGTTTCAACAAAATCGGATAAAAATTGTGACTTCTATAGGGTCCACAAGCTAAAAACGTGATTTTTCGTACAAACAGAGGCCATAATCCATGAAGTTTCTATCTGATACATGCCAACATCGAAAGCAGCCGAGATCTTTTGGAGATAAAGCTATATTTCAAGTTTCGTCTGAATCGGATAAGAATTGTGACCTGTAGAGTGTCCACAAACAAATTGTGGCCGGACGCCCGGCCGGACAGGGGCGACGACAATATACGTCCACATGAAAATGTGGGCGTATAAAAATGATAGAGACAGTGCTGACATTGTACACATCGATCCATCGGGAACAAATATCGATTCTCGCATCTATACATCAACATTGGTATTCGTCTGTGCAGTTCGCAGAAGCTTGCTATTGGAACGAAAATTCCTTGCTTCAAATCTCTGATATGAATTAGTTATGTAATTGATAGTGTAATTTTAAATTTTACGTCAAGCTTTTCAAATAAATTGAGAGTGAATATGTATTACTTCGTCTATCATTGCTATAATTTCAATGCATTCTGACAGTGCTGGGCTCGCAGATTCAGTTTTACAGTCTGATTTTAAAATTAACAAGCCAACAGTGAGGCAGATATCCACCACTGAAATCCCAAAAAAAACCCAGATGACACATATTAATTAATTGCACATTTTATCTTTTTCAAAGGTTATCGAGTAATCAAACTGAATGCTTAGTCTAACTAAGCATAAAATGTTCACTATCAAACTCAGGTTTTGAAGTACCTGGTATTGAGTGAAACTATACACTAAGTTTTATCACTCTCCATCAGTTAGAAACAAAGTTATCTTGTCTCAAAGCATCGACCAAAGAAATTGCTTTACGCTGCTTAGCTTTAATGGGAAATATTAATCATTGAACTCAGTCAAGACATACGCCTAATGAACATCTATACCTCAATAAAAAGCAGAGTTGTTATGTTCCAAAGTCTTGACCAATCAAATTGCTTATTGCTACTTAGCCTAAGCAGAAAATTTTCATCATCAAACTTAGTCAATGCATTGATATAATGAATCTATACTAAGAATTTCATCGCTCTCACCCAATTAGAACCAAAATTATCGTGTTCCAAAGCCTCAACCAATCAAATTGCTCATCTCTGCTTAGCTTTAGTGGAAAATGCGCCCGAACAAACTATGTCAAGGCATTCACATTCACGTAATAGACACCTACACCAGTTATGAACATTCTACCACAATTAGAAGGAGAGTTATTGTGTCCCAAAGCATCAATCAATCAAATTGCTTATCTCTGCTTACCCTAAGCAGAAAATGCTCATCTTTGAACTCCATCAAGGCATTCACCCAATCAACGTCTACACATAGTTTGAACATTCTACTTCAATTTGGAGGAGAGTTATTGTGTTCCAACGTCTCGATCAATCAAATTGCTTATCGCTCTGCTTACCCAGAGCAGAAAATACTCATTATCGAACCTAGTCAAGGTATTGATGTAATAAAAGCATACACCAAATTTCATCACTCTCACTTAATTAGAACTAAAGTTATCGTGTCCCAAAGCATAAACCAATCAAATTGCTCTTCTCTGTTTACCCTAAGCAGAAAATACTAATCTTCGACCAGACAGACGAACGGACCAGGGGGGACAATAAAAATAATTCATGGATTTTCTGCACCAGAATGGATAAATATTAATAAGGGTTATCAGAATCATTTTACTATCTGTTTACTATTCGTTACAATATATTCTGACATTCCGTATGCTCTATATTTAGCCATTTTTACATCAGATTATTTTGAAATTTTCCGCAATGCAATTGATCACGTACGCAGCTCTGAGCATAAATGTCAACATTATGCGTATTATTTAGTGATAGTAACTGATAAAATTATTAATGCAGTGCAATGAAAACAGTAGCCTAAATAAAAAAAATATTCATTCATTCATTCCCTGCACTAGTTTATGGCATACAAGTTTAGACCGTGTTTTGACTTCCACAATGAAATTTATTCATAACGACCTAGGTCACGCACAGGGCTGCCGACAACCAGTATTGCAGCGCAATTTGCGATACATATTTTGTCCGTTGCTAATCAAAAATTAAAATCTAACGTTTTTGATTCGCAGTAACTGCGAATCAATAATATGCCTGTCATTTTGGATATTGACACAAAGATTTATCCACATTTCTCAACACTTTCAACTCGTATAAAATATCAAATAAATTTTATAAACAAAACGGAATTCTCCGTGTGACATTTTCTTCTCGAACTACCCAGACTCAATTCATGATACTATATAATACAGGGACATAACTCTATGAATCGGGACTGTTAAACCGGAAATAGGGAATCAAGTAGTACCACTCACGTTGCGAGACATGTCAATTTCGAGTAATTATATCAGAATTCAATTTGAAAAAAAATAAATTCAGTGTATCCCCCACGTATTGTAAATAAAATATAAAAAATAAATACGTGTAAACGTATTGTAAAGTGAGAAATCAAAGTAAGAATTCCCGTAAACTATTATTGTTTATATCGCGTGCGTCTAGTTAATCGAGATTATTCGTAAAATACCGCATGCTTTCGATTGAACAAAAATAATAACACACGATAAAAAGCAGACGAAATTGTTTTCTAACGAAGAAATAAGAAGCCACTGCCAAGAATTGGCTTCAGACATAAGGCCTAACAAAAGTCTACATTCATTCAGAAATGTTCACAGCTAGCTGTAGAAGTGCTAACATTCTAAAAAAATCTTAAGAATGAAATCTAATCATTTGCTATCAATTAAAATTAAAATAATCTTGTTATTTAGGTGTTTTATGTTGATTTGAAACTGAAAAACTGCTAATCAATTTTTAAATTTGCTAATCAAATTTGGCAAAATTGGACTTTTTGATTAGCAGTGCTGCTAATCATCTGTGAAAAATTACCGACAGCCCTGGTCACGCATATTCCCACTCACTGATTAATTAGAACTAAAGTTATCGTGTCCCAAAGCATAAACCAATCAAATTGCTTTTCTCTGTTTACCCTAAGCAGAAAATGCTAATCTTCGACCAGACAGACGAACGGACCAGGGGGGACAATAAAAATAATTCATGGATTTTCTGCACCAGAATGGATAAATATTATCGAACACATAACAAAGGTAGGAGGTAATTAATTAATGCTTACAGAATTTATATCGGAGATTTGACTCAAAGAATTTTCATTAGAATAGTGAGTTTCAGTGATGCAGGTATCGAAGCTGCTCCCGATGCATCAAACATAAAATTTTAATTGATATCAGTACTAAAAAACACTGAGATTTTTTTTAAGAGGTCACTCCCATTAGTTGAGTGGTCGGACACTTGATTTAAGTACAAATATGTGAATCTACTAACTTGCCAGAGATATTAATTGATACAATTAGGCCTGGAGCCAAAATTTCTAGCTTGCTTAGAAACACAATTCCGCTACATGGTCCTCCCAAATAAACAAACTATACATTTTTGGAAAGCTTATAACACCAGGAACACAAATCCAGAGAGTTCCAAGCAAAAAGTCTGCAAGAGTTGGTGAGCGGGTGTTTACCCAGAAAATAAGGGAGGAGCGCCTAATCAGATGAGCAAGGAGATATACTATTCAAAAAAAGTAGGGGATATTTGATTTTTAAGTGTTATTAAAGTCACCTAATGAAACTGACGAAGAAACAAATGACAAAATGAAATGAAGTTCACATTCATCGATTTATTCCAAATGATCGTTAGACTAAGTAAGGCACAGACTGACCATTATAAGGGTAAAATGATACCCGGGGTCAAACAGCAAAGTTACCACAGCAACACAACCAAGTCAGTAACGGGTAAATCCTCCTCTGTTTGCCAAACAAGCATTGATCCGACGTGGCATACTCCTAATGAGACGTCTAAGGTCATTTTGGTCCAGATTGTCCCATTCCTGTTGCAACGCAGCAGCAAGTTCTTGGACATTGGCAGGACGTTGTTGACGTTGACGTAACCTCTGTCCAAGCATGTCCCAGACATGCTCGATGGGGGAGAGGTCGGGACTCAGTGCTGGCCAAGGTAATGTGGTGATGTTCTGTTGTTGGAGGTAACCTGTAACAATCCTGGCCCTGTGACATCTTGCGTTGTCATCCTGGAAGATGAAACGGCGGCCATGACGTCGTGCGAACGGCACAACATGGACTGCCAAGATGTTGTCCCGGTAGTACTGGCCTGTAACACGCCCTGCAACAACATGTAAAGCCGTTCTTCCAGCAACAGTGATGCCTCCCCACACCATAACAGAACCACCCCCAAATCGATCATGTCTGATGACGTTAACGTCTTTGAAGCGCTCGTTTCGACGACGCCACACCCTCCTACGTCTGTCCAAAAAATCAACAGTGAACCTTGACTCATCTGAAAACATCACATTGCTCCAGCGTCGATTATCCCAGTGTTGACGATCCCTACACCAACGACGTCTTGCCTGAATGTGATGATCTCTCAAACAAGGGATCACGCGAGGACGTCGGGCGCGAAGGTGACCCCTATGCAGTCGATTCCGAATCGTCTGGCCACTCACTCTCACACCAGTGTCTGTTTGAAGACGAGCGCTGTGATGACACGATTTCTCAAGGCCAAGGTACGGATAAATCAATCCTGGGCTTGAGTTGTCGCCCTTGGTCGACCTGAGCGTGGTCTGTCCTGTACAGATTGTGTATCACGGTATCTGGACCATAGCCTGCTTATGACAGACTGAGAAACATTCATCGTCCGCGCCACAACCGCCTGTGTTGTGCCGATCTGTAGCATGCCAAGGGCACGTAACCATTCATTTTGGGTAAGCCGACGCATATCAAAATTTGTTTTCTGGTCACTAAAACAATTAAACTGATGTTTCCACCCTGGAATTCAATGCCACAATGACTGTAACATTCAAAGTCAGAGTCGTGCAAATCTTGGGTTGGACCCCCATGATGATCCCAAGCATCACCTGCATTCCATGCGGTAGCTATTGGTGCGTTTGGGCGTCACATGTAACTGGAAATGTTTCTTCTGTTAGGTTCTATAGTGACTTTTTTCGTAGTCATTTGCATATTTTAGTATTATGCCCCCAAAATCAAATATCCCCTACTTTTTTTGAATAGTATATGTTTGACATTGGTTGAGCAATATGTCTATGAAGTAATGGAGACCAGACTATGTCGGTAGTTTTGTAAATCGCATTCAAACCACATGATTTTTTCCACTAAAACATACACCCACACCAACATACCCTTTCAGTCAGACCCTACAGCTAGCTGTAAACCTCTAGTTCAGATATTTAAGGTCGAATTACAAACACTTAAACTGAAACGATATCTATAATTGTTTAATTTGCTAACAAATATAGATTTAAGACAAAAATTATTTATTGAAGTAAAACAGTCATTGAAAAACAAAATTACGCAGCTACCCTGCAATTTAAATGTCATCAAAGTTAGTCTCACTCTCACTACATGTATAAACATCAAGTTGGGTTTCTTTAACAGTCTTTTTGTTTCATTTTCACATTTACTACATTTACATAGATTAAATATGTACATGTATCCCCTTGTCAGTGGTACGGGATGGGAGTTGGCTGGAAGGACAATGCCAAGTCGTTTGGATGGGAGGGAAAACAATGGTTGACACAATATTTGATTCAACAAACTGAATCGGATTGAACAACAGGTAAGTGGCTGCATGGGTGTAGGGGGCTAATGTCAGTTGGGTGTGGTTGGGGGGGGGGTCTGAGCCTATTTGCCTGAAAAATTTGTCACCCAAATATTCTGAATGAATCAATCATTAACTAAAATAAATTTTCCACAAAGCTGTGATGGGTATGTTTATTTTGAATTAATTAGGCTACACAAATATGCAATTATATTTCCATGAGATATGGTCGCATTCTCCATTCTCTGAAGCTTGTGCCTGAAAAACTGAAATACATTGCCCAAAAAATGGACGGTTCAACCAATCTGGGAGGGCGGGCGAGCATATAAGCTCTCCCAAAACAATATTTCTACTAATATATATGTAAACTTTTAGTTCAGATTAGATTTGGGGCTAAATTCCGAACAAATATTTGAATTGAAACAAAGCATCTATATGTAATTTTCTCACTAAAATAGATATGTGGCAGAACCTAAATAATACTGTAAGGCAGTGGCAATTGTTATGAAGAGGAAAAAAATCAACCGTCATAATGAAGATGTACATACGCCCGCCATACATTATGCTATAGGGTGGGAAGGGGGGTCCAAACAGCAACGTTACAGTCTACTCTTTATTTCGAATTTAAAGTTCTTTTACGTGCATGTCAACGTGTGCACGGGACCTCAGTTTTATATTCCATCCGAATAACTAGACGCTGTCCATCAGTCACCCCCCCCCCCTTCCTGCACCACTGACAAGGGGAAACAACACTGGAAAGTTTGGGGAACTGCCTAGGTCAACACAGGGGATCAAACCTCGGACCTCTTGATTTGTGAGCCACGGACAAGGAGAAACTACGCCGGACTAGGATCAATCCCTGGGCCGCCCGGTAAGTGAGCCAGCCCTTTACTGAGTCACCGCGGATCCCTTGCACACTGATGATGACACTTGCATACTAGTTGTACACGTACAATGCCCCCCCCCACTCAAACAATAATGTATGATGTACGCCCATCTTCATTATACGGGTTGATACAGAACAGTAAGACATTCAACTCCATTTGATATTTTTTTCTCTTCATTACAATATTGTTACTCCCAATACAGTATTATTTAGTTTTGGCCATATCTATTTTAGTGAGAAAACTAAATATCTGTAGATGCTATGTTTCAGGTTAAATATTTGTTAGATCTTTAGCCTCAAATCCTATCTGAAAAAAGGTTGAACTTATATAGGCCCTTGTCTGTAGTTAAATCCTGTTACTGTTATCAATAATTATTGTTATTTTCCATAAAGGAAGATAACTCCCTTTACCATAAATGGATTTCCGAAATTCTGTATGTTTCCCTGTCCATTATGTTTTCTGCATTTTGCTTTAAATCAAACTTTCACTAACAGCATATTCTTTGCATAGGATGAAGGCATCGGATGTTTTCGCCAATATTAAATTTTATGTCAACTTCACAATTATTAGTATAAATATTGCATTTACTTGACAATTCTCACAATTTCAATTTTCATCTGGCCCTAAATCGAGTTAGTGCAGACTTTTTGCTTGGAACTCTCTGGATTTGTGTTCCTGGTGTTATAAGCTTTTCAAAAATGTATAGTTTGTTTATTTGGGAGGACCATGTAGCGGAACTTCACGCTAGAAATTTCGGCTGCAGGCCTAAATACAATGCTATCATTTTTCTCTATACCTTGTCTATAAATTTGAAAACAATGTTGCAACGACAATATTGCTACACCAGCCTATATTGTAAAACTCAACCTCTAACAGATGTCCTGTATGTATATAATTCATGAGTACAAAAGTTTCAATTTCAATATTTTGTTGAACTCAGGATAGAAAACTCGACAGGCTCAAAAGACAAAGGGTACTATGGTATGTTGTACCTCACTGCAATAGGATCTTCCTAAAGTAATTGAGACATGAATGTGGGTGAATAAAACCGAAATGTGCATAAACCTATCAAAAGTAATATATATATTGATCTATTCGTGCATACTTACTTATCCAAAGTGGCTGCTAATATATATTTTCCATTTGGAGAAAACTTTACAAAGGAAACAGGTGGATTATCATCATCTGTAAGAGGAAGAAATCTATAATATATATATTGCTATAGAGAACCAAATGGCTGAAATTATAAATTAACTTCATAATAACCAGATTTTTATAAGAAATTTAATGGTTCTATATTATTTTTGTATTTGGTGCAGTATTTAATAATGAACTTGACAATGATTTTTGCATTATTATGGATGTTACGAATATGGAGATAAACTTGAATTGATCAAAAAGTCAAATCTTTATCAGATTCCTTAATCACCTGAAAAGAGAGGAAGCAAATTCCAATACACAAATGTTGTGCACTAGGCAGGTTAAGTATATATTCACCAGAACACAATACACCACTTGTCACTGATGATAAGATGATGTCCTGTGGCAGGTTCACGAAACAGATGAGTGATTAATAATACTATTTAATATAAACTTACCAATCAATGTTTTTAAACACTGACCAGATGCTGTATCCCAGATACGACTATAGAAAGAAAACATCATTATCAGCTCATTTCCCTACAGACAAATATTATGACAGTGGGGAGTAGGAGACTGTACACATATATTTTAAAAGTCAAAACCATGTACGGCCTACTATTTTACAGTAATGACTTATTATTATGTATTTAGGAACATCTTAGTATAATAATAGCCTCAAATCACGCAGAATAAGTTAATTGTGGTTACTATTCATGGAAACTTGTGAGAAATATATGTGTTGTCCAGGGAACAAAATAACCGGGTTCGCATCACACTTTGCTATCCATTTCTGACGTTACTGCGAGTCAATAGAAAAATTAATTAGCAAAATTTTAGTTGGGAATCTATAAAGTTGCGAATCATTTTTATCAGATATAGTACCATTTATTTCAACATTAAGTGCCTCAAAATTCAATTGGCAATAAGAAATCCTTTCACGGTTACTCCAAAATGTGAACCCATCCTTTTTATTCTACATTTTACAACACAATATTCATTTCAGGAATCGGTTTGTTTTCTGTCGCGCTTATCCAGACATAATAAATGCATTGAAATATTTGTCATGCGTCTGGAAAACGTGACAACTATGCCGCGTGTCTCCACCCTTCTTTCTAATGCTTAGTCTGATTGTAATATTCATGATCTTCGATATTAAATAAATTTTACAATGATCAAAACAATGCTCTAAGTTTGACATCTATTGCGTAATCAGTCGGTAGCTACCGCTTTGCAAAACTGAAAGTGTTCACAGCAATTTCTGCACAATAAAACATAATTAAATACTATTGTGAATGTTCAGAACAGGATGAATGAATAGCGCTTTTTTTACATGCATTTTTAATTAATAATGTGTGATTTTAAACTCATGATGGCTATGTAACCAAGGTGGGCAAAATTACAGCAAGGTAATTCAGACTACGTAACATCAACATGCAATAAGTCGTCTGCATTTGGAATTTGTTTAACACACGTAAAACTAAAGGATCGTAAATGAATGGTGTTGAAAATATCATCCACAATACAATTTATGCCGTGCTAGATCAGTAACTTGCAAGTTATGCACAATCCACAAAATATGAATACAAATAAAAATAATATTTTCCAAAATGACAATAACCACCAAAATTTAATAACCATAGCTACCGTAATGTAAATGGGCTATCAAGGCAAATAAAATGTACGCATATTCCCACTCACTGATTGGTCCAATAGTAGTAGATTATCAGAATGAGGCAAACGACCTTGGTGGAATAAATGTCACATGTTTTTATTATACTCTTTTCCTTCGTGTTGATTGAGCAAAATGATAAGTGGGAGGGTGCGCATATCATGAGTAGTTATTCTATACAAATTCCTTCACCTCATTGATTTTTTGGGATGTCATAGATGGTCTTAATAATTACGGCTAAGCACATTTTTTTCTTCGCGGCTCAAACAATTTGCAAATCGAAAGTACGATTTCATACTCGGCATACACAGACATTCATAAACATTGAAACAAGTAAGAAATTATGAGTACCGGTATATGAACTTTTGATGTAATTTTGTTCAAGAATTTCACGTCTTCGAATTATCCGAATAGTATTCGGATAGCCAACAAAAGTATTCGGATCACAAATCTCGATCAATTTTCAACACTATTCCATGCACTACGGGCGTAGTAAATGAGGCTAAACTTTGGCGCGAAAATTGCACGGGATTCATGGACATGAATATCAAATACACTTGATCATACATGGAGTTCCTGAAGCCGTTTGGTGTGTGATTAAACTGTCAATGTAATTGTAAAATACCTTTATTATAAAAAAAAAGTTAAACAATGTTAGACATTATAACCTTATCATATCACAAACGTTTATCCATCGAATAATTTATATTTAGATTTCATATCAAGTCAATTAAATTAAAAAATAATACGAGGCTACTTTATTACAAAAACATCGGTGAGCAAAGCTAATTGATTAATGGGTAAATAATAATTATAAACAACTGATGAGTAAAACTTAATTATATTATACAATTAACGTGTGTACGATTAGTTCGTTCGTGGGATATTACGTACACGTTCCACCTAGAGTGATGTCTTTGATCTCGCCGGCGTAACCTAATCAGCATTCTTAATTAATTTATGACCCCATGTCTGCAACTTTAGTTGGATAGATTAATGACAGATATAAACGACACTACACTTTTATCAATACACAAAGATAGTTAGATGACCCTTCTCAATCTGTTATTCCATTTACCAACAAAATTTATTTGTACTGTTAATTCTAACGTATATTGAGATATTTTTTCGTACTTCATTTGTACAGTCTATTTCAGAGTAATGAAGTCAAATCCACACACAGAAAGAAATGCGCCGTATGATGGCTACTGGAAAACGAGATACAGTTGGCTACTCTGATAACGGATAGTCATTTACAAATCGCGTTTCAATCATGTTTGACTTTTATGACATATGTTTTGCATGACCACATATTTTTACTCCTGTACTCTTTTACTCGGGGGAAATTAGAACCACAATACTATTTTGACGAAAATGTATCTCGAATCGTTTGGGCTGCACACGATGGTAGAGGGACTCTATGAAAAAGTCACTTTAAAACACAGTTTTAAAATCACTGTCGTGAGAAAAGAGAGTGAGCGGTACATTATAAAACAAATTCTAAATTATTCAGTAGTCAATTGTTTTATTTGATTAGGGGATTAAGGAATCAGTCAGGCGTTAATGAATACATACGCCGGCTGTATATAGGTAATTAAGGAATAAACATTCCGAATATGCATTCGGTCACTGTGACGTCACTGGCGCCTGAGGGGATTAAGAGTGTTTTCGATAATTGGCAAAGTCGTTTTTACCGGAGGTCTATTTTTGCGACTTGGTGTGAAGACAGCTGAATTAATTTCAATCAGATTGGTGTGAACTTGCCGTAAAGTGGATCTAGTAACCATTGGCTACACGTAGCGAAAAGTTCCCACGTCCATCTTATGTGCACATTAAGTTAATTGGTTGGTATTCCTTACTTATAAAGGGGATCACGTGGCTAAGTGGGTAAGACGCTGGCTGGCTAGCCTGGAGGTCGGGTGTTCGATCCCTACATTGGCCAAGAAAGTTCATTCAGATTTTCCAGCGTGGTTTCCCCTTGTCAGTGATGCAGGACGGAGGGCCTGACAAGGACAGCTGTCTAGTCGTTCGGATGGGCCGGAAAACCGAGGTCCTGTGTACACATTGGCGTGCACGTAAAAGATCCCTTGGCAGTTGGAATTCGATAAAAGAGTAGGCCGTATTGCAGCTGCCCGGGCAAAATTTCCCTCATAGCACACTGTATGGCGTATGCCCATCTTCATTAGCCCAGTTTAGGCGCAGAACAGTAGGACGTTAAACCCATTTCATTTCATTTCTCCTTACTTATGTCAGTATGTAAAAATAACATGAGTAATTTAACAAACTTGAGTTACTCCGAACATAGCACTAGTCAGGTGCCTGCAGGAGAAACTGGCAAATGCGTGACTAATTAACAAAACATCGCTATTGGGGCTACCGTTCACTATCTGGGTGAAACCGCCAGTTATCTTTGATCTGCGTCAGTAACTGGAACTGACATCAGTAGAGCGTGAAATCATTTACTATATAAATTTCTGTTAAGTTTTTGATAAGTGATTAGTTTCAATTAAATTGTGACTTTTCCATAAAATCGTCACTACATCCTAAATTAATTATTATTTATTATAATCAAATTGCTTATCTCTGCTTACCATATGCAGGCAATGTTCATCATCAAACTCCATCAAGGCATTATTCACCTAATGAACGCCAAACCAAGTTTGAACATTCTACCTCAATTAGAAGCAGAGTTATTGTGTTTCAATGTCTCGACCAATCAAATTGCTTATCCCTCTGCTTACCCTCAGCAGAAAATGTTCATCATCAAAATTATTCCAAGATATTGATGTGATGAAACTATACACCAAGTTTCATCACTATCGCTTAAAGATACATTCCCGCGTACAAACTTAAACTTCGTGATTTGATGATATATTTGGACTAAAAACATTCAAAGTAACCAATCTATCAAAAAATTTCCTTCAATTCCCTCTCAAAACTTTGTATTTGCCAGCAATACTTATAGCTATAAGTAAGCTGTTGTTAGACGCAATGCCTGTTAACTTAGCTTCATTGTGGAGGGGTCAATTGTTCAAAATGTATTTATCATTACAGTAGATAATATTTATCCATTTTTGTGAAGAAAATCGATGAATTCATTTTATTTTATCAAAAAAGCACATGAACAAAAAACATCGCTAATTTTATCACCTATTTACAGGGGGTGTAACTCTGTATGTAATGTTATAGGAGGCGCTAAGAGAAATACTAGATGATCGTGACAAAACTCGGTACTTTTATTTTATTCAATCAGTATCAAATAATGTGTCGTTACGCGTGAAAACAATGATCAGGTTAGTCGTTTAATAAAACAAAAGATTAATTAACAGATAATCCCGGGTTGATTGTTATTTTTACATTTCTTTTTACCTGATCAGTGGGGGTCCAGTTAATTAACTACTACTCACGGGATTAGCGGGGGTGTTACAAAGAACGACAAGATGGTATCATTCAACAATGGCCGTTGAATGGGCGATGTTTTGTTGAATTTATTAGTAAAATAGTGACCGCTGGCCGCGTAAGAAGAGTGACCGTTGAATAAAGAGATGAAACAACAGAATTTCTACGGGGGAAATTTATCGTGACCGCTTACAAGGAGATGTCGCTGAATAGGAGTCTTTTGTACGTTGACACCCCCTCAATGTTCCCAAAACCACCTAACCATTTGATCATTTAAGCTGGCAGATAACAGTCGGGTTGCCAGTTAGTGATACCCTGACAATTTTGCCCAGTGCTTGCCCCATGGGCATTTTTGGGGTAATCCAAAGTACATATATTTTCACTACTTTTACTGAAACAAATATGTAAGCTGAAATTATGAGCATAGAAGAGTTTAAATATCTTTTTACCTTTGAGAAATAAGCTTTTATAACTACAATTTTTAGACAATATTTACAGTGATGAAAATAGTAATAACATATTATAAGGCATCATATACAATGCCAAAACATTCTACGCACGAACAAATTGTTCATTTGGACAGTAATTTTATTTACTTGAAAAGGATAATTATTAAATATAAAACTACCTGATGGGATAACGAGTCGTTTGTCAGTTAATTTTATTACCTTTTGAAAACAACATTCATTCAATAAAAACAATTGATAAAATTAAATGAAGACCGCCATAGTATACCCATCCACGTTATGGCTATCCAGTAGACGTGGTACAAGGGTTAATCAGCGAACTGGATGTATGAGATGTGTTGTTGACGTTTGGGAAAGTAGGACGAGGGGAAATGTGTAGGGAGTGAAGTGCTGTAAAGGGATAGTTAGATGTATTATGAATGGTTAGAGTGGCTGTGGTGTTACGGTGAAATACTATGCCGCCACAGCTTTATGATTTGTTAGACAGGAGTGATGTAATGGGTGTCAACAACTGGGTATGCTGGTACCGTCGCAACGTAGCCGTGAAATATATATTGTGGGGGGGGGGGGGGGGAAGGGCGGAAACGGAAAAATATACAATGTTGACAGTATGTGCCAGGCATGAGGCTGCGCAGACCGAGCGGCAGCTCGATAGGGAGTGTGTGGGAGGGTCACCCTCATAAAAATTTTTTTTTTTAAATTTCAGTTTTCTGTAAGCAGTGAAAACACTATTTTGGCATTGTTTGCGGGGTTAAACCTAAAAATCACATTAATACACCTATTGCACGATATTGTGAAACTAGCTGACGAAGACAGCTCGGGCGGCGATTGTTCGACTCGGGGCTGCTCTGTCAGTACAACTTTTAAAAACCGAATGTCAGTATGGTATTTCTCACATAATTGGTTATCGCAAAAACAGAGTAAACTGAAAGCGAGTAATCTCGACTCAAACCTATAGTCTATAGCCTACTTACCACAACACTCGTCACTAGGCTTCCTATATTATTGTTTGTGGACGGTTTACTACTCAGTGATAAGCCTGCGCCGCAAAAAGAGGTCTCGCCTTTTATTGTTAGTATAATGACTTCCTCATGTGCGGCAGGTTAGTTTGCTTCTAAAAACACTGTTTTCCGTTCCAAAAAATACAAAAGTAATTTTCTACCAGATGAATATGGTTCTTTTCACCGAGACTAGATAATTTCTCTCGGTGTAAGGATATAGCTATGGATAAGTTCATACAAGGTCAATAAATCCGCGGTCACACTGTTGAGAAAATAAACCGATGGGTTTGTTTAGTAGCAAATCGAGCGTGAATCAACTGAGTTTGTACTGAAAAATTTTTGAGTGATATGTATGAACTGTCTTCACACATTCGGTTTATAATTAGCGATACACAGGTAGAGTGGCAAGTATTGTACTTCACAGACTGTTTACCTCCGAACTACCTCCGCACGAAATCCCCGATTTGGGTACTTGTTAAAAGAAAAAGAAATAGTACCTGTGCGCATGCCAGTAAAAAAAAACCTAAGAGTTCGCGCATAAAAATGCCCGAACGTACCAGGCGCCAGGTCATCCAGAGAGAGAGAGAGAGTATATATCCACAATTTATCATCTTGGTACGCATGCAAAAAGAGGCACGGATAAAAACAAAGGTTGATATAGTTTTTTTAAATTCTTACATAAAAGAAAAATGATTTATCACACAGCACAAGATTACCAACCTAATCCACATTATAAAATTTTAGTTTCCTGTCAGCTGTAATCAATTTTGCAACTCTTCCACAAAATAAATCACCGTTTTACTTCTACGTAGTGACACCGGCTTGTTCGTAAATTCACTCCTGTGTTTTGTAGTCTTATCTTGCATTTCGGAGAGCCACAGTGGCTAAGATAAAAAAAGAAAGATGCTGGCTCGCTAGCCAGGAGGTTGCGTGTCTGATCCCTGCATTGGCCGAGAAAGTTTATCGGGGTTTTCTGGCATGGTTTCCGGATATAACTCAGTCAAGTTTATAGTTTAATATCAGTTATCTTTTTAAATAACGCAACCGAACTGCAGTCGCCTTGACACCAAAATTTTTTAATATGAACCCTGAATAATCTTGTGCTTATGTATAAATAGAATTTTTACTCTGATCAAGAAGGCGTTACTTCATTGCTGACCCTGTGCTCTGCACGGACAATTCATGAAACGTGAAGTTTGTTTTTTTTTATCAGGAATTGGGTTAAATGGAACAAATTTGAAGATACTAATAATAATGTAAATAGATATTCACACGATTCTTCAGTGCTCAGAATTTCAGCTTGTATGTATGTATGTATTGGTATGTATTGGTATGAGTATGTCATGTTGATCTTTTTTTAACCATTAGAAGTGAATCCAAATTCAATCCATACATAGATATAAAATCCCGCCTGTCCCAAAACATGTGCCAATCTGCATATAACGAGAATAACTATAAATTGTAAATCAAATAATAATACACATTCTACTTGGGGCAACCGTTGAAAGTTTGTTCATTCCTGGAGATTTACGTCCACTTCTACCGGGAACTGGTACAAATAGTGTGACGAATCAAAACTTGTCATCAAGCATTTAAATGCATGAAGGTATTTATGAATCGATCTGTATAGCCCATCTTCAGTGTCTTTTGCACACTACGGCAGTAATCGAAATCGCCAACAAATTGTACTGTTGTTCACTGCAATCCTTTATCGTTTAAAACATTTTCCCCCCTATTCGAGAATATTAATAAATAATTAATCATTTATTCAGGATGTAGTGATAATTTAACGGAAAAGTCACAATTTAACCAATACTAATCACTTATTTAAAAAACTCACCAGAAATTTATATAGTTAATGATTTGCCAATTTCTCCCACATGCGCCTGACAAGTGATATGTTCAGATTAACTCATGTTTGTTTAATTACTCACGTTATTTTACATACTGACACAAGTAAGGAATACTTACTGATTAACTTAAATACTCACCTTATTATTATTACTGACCATTTATAGAAATACTAACGCATGGGGCAAGTACTAACGGGTTTAAGCGACCACTGACAACACGTATATATTTCTCACGAGTTTCCATGAATAGTAACCACAATTAACTTATTCTACTTGATTTAAGGATATTCTAACACAGAACCCAGTTAGTCAATACTCAGAGATCAGTTCTACACACTATGCATCTTGACGTGTATTATAACTATATATAAGACAAATAAATATGGTGTTTTAATAATATAGTGTTATGCAATCATTGAAATGAATATGAACTAAAAATGGCCACAAAACTGATTGATTTGAGTTAGTGCTTTTGATTGTGTATAGAATCAATATCTATCAAAAGTTATTCTGATAAATCGGCACTTTAAAAAGTCAATAATTTAAGGCTGCCCTCTCACTGGCATGACTTTGAACAATGATTTTACTTATATATATCAAAAAATACACTGGAATGTGGTTGAATGTCCCATCAAAACTCTATTTCTGTTAACACTAAAATACTGTTATTTATCTTGAAAATTCTAGTTACATTAAATTGCTCTCCCCCCACCCACCTCCAAACAATAAAAGGATCAACATCCAACACATATTAATAAAATATAAATAAGCAATCTGAGAGTATGCCCATGCCCGCTAGACGACCTTCAGTTATCGTGATTTCTTGACTATGGTCACACTAACTGAATTTGAATTTCATTTAGTCCGGACCATAGTCCGAAAATACTGAACCAAGCTATTGTGGCATGGTCGAAGTAGTTCGAAGATGGCAGGTGTCGATAAAACTGAAGTGTTGAATAATTTGAAAAAATCATTTTTGTTGAGCATATGATTTAAGGAGACTTGAAAGAATTTTAAATGGGTGCTAATTCTATGAGCAGTTATTTTTGTTTCGTATGTTATTTCTAAATCTATTTAAGTCTAACAATTATGCATTTTTTAATATTTGTGCTATACGAAAAGTAAAGTCAAATTACAAGGAATTTGGTCCATGGAGGCAGCCATCTTTGAACAGAAAATGGTCCGGACTACTAGTCATGAATAAATTATAACCAACCGTCGACCAATAGGCCCCAACAAACTTTACAACACATGTTTTCATAAGAGGCTGATACTGCAAATACATTTCTGAGATTAAGCTTTCATTAATGAGTTTATAATGGTAGTAATTTTACTTACCATAAACCATCATAACTACTAGATACTATAAGAGAACCATCACGATTAAAATGAACCTGCAATGTATAAAGAAATGTTTCTTTAATAAATGAAATGAAATGGGGTTAACGTCCCACTATTATTCTGCACCGAACTCGGTTAATGAAGATGGGCATACGCCATACAGTGTGCTATGAGGGAAATTTTGCCCGGACAGCGGCACTACGGTCTACTCTTATATCAAATTCCAACTGTCAAGGGATCTTTACGTGCATGCCAATGCGTACACAGGACCTCAGTTTTTCGTACCATCCGAATGACGTTCCTTTAATAATCGAATGTAGGTAATAATCTCCCCAGTAAAAATCCCTGAAAGAGATGGATAAAAACAAAACCGAAATTTCGTACAATCAGGAGCCATAATTCTGAAAGTTATGGTCTGAAATGCGCGAATATCGAAAGGGACTGAGATCTTTGGGATATAAAGATATATTTTAAATTTCATCAAAATCGGAAATGAAATGGGGTTCTGTCAGGCCCTCCATCCTACATCACTGACAAGGAAAAAAACCACGCTGGAAAATCGGGATGTACTTTATCGGCCAATGCAGGGATCGAACACCCGACCTCCAGGCTAGTGAGCCAGCGTCTCACCCACTTAGCCACCTTGGTTTCCCATCAAAATCGGACAAAAATTGTGACCTCTAGCTAGAGGGACCACAACCTTCGTATTACATACTTTTACACACTTTGCATACAAAGAGCGTCCATTTTGTCGGGCAGTTCATTTTGAATTTTCCCTTCATTATGGTGGAATAGTGATATATATTTAAACGATTTTTAAAATCAGATAAAAAATTGTGACCTCTAGAGAATCCACAAACTAAAAAGCATGATTTTTCGTACAATCAGGGGCCGCAATCCAGAAAGTACGGTCTGATATGCGCAAATAGCAAAAGATCTTCGGGACATAAACATAAAATTGAAGTTTCATCAAAATCTGATAACAAATGTGACTTCTAGAGGGTCAACAAGTTAATAACGTGATTTTCGTACAATCAGGGGCCATAATCCAGGGAGTTACAGTCCGATATGCGCAAATATCTTTAGATTATAAACAAACATTTCAAGTTACATCAAAATCGGATAAAAATTGGGACTTCGAGAGTGTCCACAACCTTGGTATTACATACTTTTACACTATTTGTGTACAAGGAACAGCCATTTTGTCCAGCAGTTTCGGTCAGATTTTTACAAAATTTGAACTCAACCTTCATTTATGTACCGGGTATATTTAAAGGGTTTTTAAAATTGAATACAAATTGTGACTTCGAGCGGGTTCACAAGCTAACAATACAACTTTTCGCACAATGAGGGACCATAACCCAGGAAGTTACAATATGTGCGACGATTATTGAATGGGACCAAGGTCTTTGTGGTATAAACTTAAATTTAAAGTTTCATCAAAATTGGATAAAAATTGTGGCTTCTAGAGGGTCCACAACCTTGATATACGGTACCATATATTTACACTATTTGCGTGCGAGGAGCGACCATTTTGTCCGCAGTTTTGGTCCGATTTCACGAAATTCGAACTTAACCATCATCAGGCTGTAACGGTGATATATTCACATGGTTGTTTAAATTGGATAAAAATTGTGACCTCTAGAGGGACCACAACCTTAAAACGCAATTTTTCATCCAATCTTGGGTCATAATTCAGGAAGTTACGATCCAATTAGTGCTGATATCAAGTATCGATGCATCGCCAATGCATCGATTCGGCTGACGCCGATTCAATTCTCAGTCCTTTTTTGTATTATCGATGCATCGGCAAAAAGTACTAATAATTAGCTTTATGTGCCCGAGGACTTCACAAGTTCGTACACTAGAATAAATAATACCTTTTCAATAAGTTTTTCTGAGTGTTTTTTTATAATTCAAAATAAAACAATATACATGTAATGGAACAATTCAATGAATCACGCACAAAGTATTACGCTTGAACTGTTTACCCTACGCTTCCGTTATGTTTGTCTCCATTTCCCAGTGATTACAAAGACTGCTTTGCTGGTTACATCCCCTGGCTATCATGTCCTTTAACCCCAAGGTCAATTTCACGTTTCATTTCAACATAGATGACCAAACGAACTGTCAGAAGGATAGTATTTCGGGGACATTTTTTAACGCTAGTTTTAAAATGATTCAGTCTTATTTTCTGAAACGAGCAATAGAGAATGTACTTCATAAACCCCTATAGACAGGCTTTGATACGATCCGTATAAATAATGCAAACGCTCACCCCTTCACAACGAATTTGAACAATGGCTAACGAGTGTCAATTGAAGTGAATCAGACGATATTAATGTCATAATAAATAACAGAAGAATATTGTGGAAATAAATTTATTCAAATAAATCGACATTTCTATAATAGGCCTAATGATAATGTTAGGGAAATTTATGTTTCTATCAGAAATACTAATGTTATTTCTGTAATTTTTGATTAACAAAATGGCAGCAAAAAATTCCCGATGCATCGATATGAGAATCGATGTTTGCATCCAATGCATAATATTTTACTTGACATCAGCACTAGATCCGATATGCACGAATATCGAAAGGAAACAGGATCTTTGGGTTATAAAACATGTATTTCAAGTTCATCTAAAACAGATCAAAATTGTGACCTCTAGAGGGTCTACACAACCTTGATATACCAGATTTTTACATTTGCAAATGATTGTGACCTCTAGATCCCGAGGGACCACAAGCTAAAAACAAGATTTTTCGTACAATCAACGGCCATAATTGAGGAAGTTACGGTCCGATATGCACTAATATCGAAAGGAACAAGATCTTTAGGCCATGAACTTGCATTTCAACTTTCATCAAAATCGGAAGAAAATTGTGATTTTTTGTACAATCAGGGGCCATAATCCATGAAGTTATGGTCTAATACATGCTAATATCAAAAGGAACCAAGGTCTTTGGGAGATAGGCTTGTATTTCAAGTTTCGTCAAAATCAGATAAAAATTGTGACCTGTAGAATGTCCACTAACAAATTGTGGACGTACAGGGGTGATGACAATATACATGTACATGTGGGCGTATAAAAATACATTTGGGTAGTCTATATCATCCAGAAAAAATTTCTTTGAATATTAGTCTTTATGCATTTGTCAACATTTGAGAATAATAGCTCATTGTCTAGATTATCCCATCTTTTGCATTATCATAAACATGCAAGCCTGGAAATAAGGCACCTGTCACAGACAATGTCAGGCACAGATTCAGGCTTTGTCAGGCACTAAACATCTGGTGCCTGTCATTTTGTCCGGCACTGATTTGTCTTTTATATTGATATTATTAATACATGTCCGGCACTAAGTTGAAAGTGTCAGGTGCTATTTCATTATTGCCTGACATTTTGTCAGGCACATCTAAAACCGTTATTTCTAAGCCTGATAAACAAAGTCTAATAGTAAGTGCAGAAGAACCGCACTACACGTAAAACAAAAATCTACAAGATAAACCTGTGGACAAGACAGAATATAGGGAGGTGAAATGAAATGAAATGGGGTTTAACGTCCTACTGTTCTGCTCCTAACCTGGCCTAATGAAGACGGGCATACGCCATACAGTGTGCTATGAGGGAAATTTTGCCCGGGCAGCGGCGCTACGGCCTACTCTTATATCGAATTCCAACTGCCAAGGGATCTTTTACATGCACGCCAATGTGTACGCGGGACCTCGGTTTTTCGTCCCATCCGAACGACTAGACAGCTGTCCTTGACAGGCCCTCCATCCTGCATCACTGACAAGGGGAAACCACGCCGGAAAATCTGAATGAACTTTCTCGGCCAATGCAGGGATCGAACACCCGACCTCCAGGCTAGCGAGCCAGCGTCCCACCCACTTAGCCACGTGATCCCCAAAATAAATAGGTAACTAGTCCTAAACAAGATCTCGACGCCCATGAAATTAATTTAATTAAGAATGCCATTTTAGAAAATCCATTTGATTGATTGCATTGCTAGTTAATCCAACATTCTTATTTTTTTTCTCTCTCTTCAAGGGCCACATCTATACTATTCAAAAAAAGTAGGGGATATTTGATTTTGGGGGCATAATACTAAAATATGCAAATGACTACGAAAAAAGCCACTATAGAACCTAACAGAAGAAACATTTCCAGTTACATGTGACGCCCAAACGCACCAATAGCTACCGCATGGAATGCAGGTGATGCTTGGGATCATCATGGGGGTCCAACCCAAGATTTGCACGACTCTGACTTTGAATGTTACAGTCATTGTGGCATTGAATTCCAGGGTGGAAACATCAGTTTAATTGTTTTAGTGACCAGAAAACAAATTTTGATATGCGTCGGCTTACCCAAAATGAAAGGTTACGTGCCCTTGGCATGCTACAGATCGGCACAACACAGGCGGTTGTGGCGCGGACGATGAATGTTTCTCAGTCTGTCATAAGCAGGCTATGGTCCAGATACCGTGATACACAATCTGTACAGGACAGACCACGCTCAGGTCGACCAAGGGTGACAACTCAAGCCCAGGATCGATTTATCCGTACCTTGGCCTTGAGAAATCGTGTCATCACAGCAAATCAGATCAGCGCTCGTCTTCAAACAGACACTGGTGTGAGAGTGAATGGCCAGACGATTCGGAATCGACTGCATAGGGGTCACCTTCGCGCCCGACGTCCTCGCGTGATCCCTTGTTTGAGAGATCATCACATTCAGGCAAGACGTCGTTGGTGTAGGGATCGTCAACACTGGGATAATCGACGCTGGAGCAATGTGATGTTTTCAGATGAGTCAAGGTTCACTGTTGATTTTTTGGACAGACGTAGGAGGGTGTGGCGTCGTCGAAACGAGCGCTTCCAAGACGTTAACGTCATCAGACATGATCGATTTGGGGGTGGTTCTGTTATGGTGTGGGGAGGCATCACTGTTGCTGGAAGAACGGCTTTACATGTTGTTGCAGGGCGTGTTACAGGCCAGTACTACCGGGACAACATCTTGGCAGTCCATGTTGTGCCGTTCGCACGACGTCATGGCCGCCGTTTCATCTTCCAGGATGACAACGCAAGATGTCACAGGGCCAGGATCGTTACAGGTTACCTCCAACAACAGAACATCACCACATTACCGTGGCCAGCACTGAGTCCCGACCTCTCCCCCATCGAGCATGTCTGGGACATGCTTGGACAGAGGTTACGTCAACGTCAACAACGTCCTGCCAATGTCCAAGAACTTGCTGCTGCGTTGCAACAGGAATGGGACAATCTGGACCAAAATGACCTTAGACGTCTCATTAGGAGTATGCCACGTCGGATCAATGCTTGTTTGGCAAACAGAGGAGGATTTACCCGTTACTGACTTGGTTGTGATGCTGTGGTAACTTTGCTGTTTGACCCCGGGTATCATTTTACCCTTATAATGGTCAGTCTGTGCCTTACTTAGTCTAACGATCATTTGGAATAAATCGATGAATGTGAACTTCATTTCATTTTGTCATTTGTTTCTTCGTCAGTTTCATTAGGTGACTTTAATAACACTTAAAAATCAAATATCCCCTACTTTTTTTGAATAGTATATATTATTCTAATTAACTTGACTTGGCCAAAAATATTGAATAATCAACAACATAAACAAAAAATAAGCGGTTGCCATGCAAGATACGCCCACATTTTACAAGAGATGGGCAGAGAACAAGCTCAAAAAAAGATGTGATTTTTCGTATATAATCAAGGGCCATAATTCAGGAAGTTACAATCCGATATGCATGAATATTGAAAGGAACCAAGATCTTTGGGTTATAAACATGTATTTCAAGTTTCATCAAAATCGGATCAAAATTATGTCCGCTCTCTAGAGGGTCCACAACCTTGATATACCACATGTTTACACTCTTTGCATATATTTGTGTACGAGGGGCAGCCATTTTGTCCGGCAGTTTTGGTCCAATTTGTACAAAATTCGGACTCCACCATCATAAGGGTTTAGTGATATATTCAAACGTTTTTTTAAATCGGATATAATTTGTGACATCTAGAGGGATCACATCCTAAAAACGCGACTTTTCGTACAATCAAGGGCAATAATTCAGGAAGTTATGATCCAATATGTGCGAATATCGAAAGGAACCAAGATCTTTGGGTTATAAATATGTATTTAAAGTTTCATAAAAATCGGATCAAAATTGTGAGCTCTAGAGCGTCCACAACCTTGATATACCATATGTTTACACTATTTGCGTGCAAGAGGCGGCCATTTTCTACGGCAGTTTTGGTCCGATTCCCACAAAATTCAAACTCAGCCATCATAATGGTGTAATGGTGATATATTCAAACGTTTTTTTAAATCGGTTAATATTTGTGACCTCTAGAGGGTCCACAAGCTAAAAACACGATTTTTCGTACAATCAGGGGCCATAATTCAGGAAGTTATGATCCGATATGCGCGAATATCGAAAGCAACCAAGATCTTTGGGTTATAAACATACATTTCAAATTTCATCAAAATCGACACAAAATTGCGACCTCCAGAGGGTCCACAACCTTAATATACCAGATGTTTACACTATTTGCGTACAAGGGGCGGCTATTTTGTCTGGCAGTTTTGGTTCGATTTTCACGGTGATATATTCATACAGTGTTTTAAATCGGATAATAATTGTGACCCCTAGAGCGACCCCAAGCTAAAAATGCCATTTTTCGTACAATCAGGGGCCATAATTCAGGAAGTTACGACCTGATATGCGCGAACATCGAAAGAGACTGAGATCTTTGGGTTATAAACTTACATTTCAAGTTTCAACAAAATCGGATAAAAATTGTGACCTCTATAGGGTCCACAACCTTGATATACCATATTTTTACGCTATTTGAGAACGATGGGCGGCCATTTTGTCAGTCAGTTTTGGTCCGATTTTCACGAAATTCAAACTAAGCCATCCTTAGGGTGTAACAGTGATATACTAAAACGTTTTTTTAAATTGGATAAAAATTTTGACCTCTAAAGGGTTCACAAGCTAAAAATGCGATTTTTCGTACAATCAGGGGCCATAATTCAGGAAGTTATGGTCCGATATGCGTGAATATCGAAAGGAACTGAGATCTTTGGGTTGTTAACATATATTTTAAGTTTAAACCAAATTGGATAAAAATTGTGACCTCTACAGCGTTCACAAGCTAAAAAAGTGATTTTTCGTACAATCAAGGGGCATAATCCATTAAGATACAGTTCGATACATGCCAATATCGAAAGGAATCGAGATCTTAGGGTGATAAACCTATAATTCAAGTTTCGTTGAAATCGGATAAAAATTGTGACCTCTAGAGTTTCACAAACAATTGTGGACGGAAGGAGGGACAGGGGCGGCGACAATATACGTCCACATGAAAATGTGGGCGTATAACAACTTCCTGGTTACGTATAAGCAATGGAACTTTTTGTCAAATAATGACAATGGTCCCAAACAATCAGTACGTTGAAGACTAGGAGGTTCTGGGTAACAGAAACTAATAATATTATTTGGGGAGATTTTTACCTGCTTTCCAAAAAGTGGGATTTTTACTAGGGGGATTATTAAAGGACAATATTGGTGCCAGTCATTATCACATATGTGATAGAACTAATTAAACACGTTCCAAATATAATTTTATCACAGAGATCATTGCTACGATAGCTGAGCAATACAGGTTTCCTGAATCAGAAGTGACGAACGCCAAAGGAAAACATGAGCCATCCCTCTATATAACTGACTGATGTGACGAGTGATAACAGAGATACCAATCAAACTGCTTATCTCCGCTTACCCTAAGCAGAAAATGCTCATCTTCAAACTCCATCAAGGTGCCGGTATTGACCTAATAACCACCTACACCAAGTTTGAACATTCTAGCTCAATTAGAAAGAGAGTTATTGTGTCCCAAAAAAAGTGACGGACGGACAGACAGATTGACAAACCCATTTTAATAGTCCCCTGCTTTCTTCTAAAGGCGGGGGACAATAATCTGACGGAAATTGTTGGGTTTTTTTTCTCAACCATCTGACTAAATTAGCCAAACTAACATAAGTGCAGAGCAATCAAAAGAAATGAAATGAAATGGGGTTTAATGTCCTACTTTTCTACTCCAACTGGGCTAATGAAGACGGGCATATGCCATTCAGACGGCTATGAGGAAAGTTTTGCTCGGACAGCAGCGCTACAGCCTATTCTTATAACAAATTCCAACTGGCAAGGGATCCTTTACGTGCACAGGACCTGGTTTTCTCTTCCCATTTACGCGATTATACGTTGTTGGTTGCAAGCTAAGTGCATAGCATGCACAGACCTGCTCTTTTTGTTATATTTTTTTTCAGATATGGGTAAATAGGGGATAAAAGTACTTACAGCTGTTACTGGATCAGAATGTGCTGGTAACGTCTTCAAACACTTTCCTGTTTTAACATCCCAAATTCGAACACTTTCATCAAACTGGCAAAATAAATAAAATATCCTTTTAGAAAGTTGCCAATAATCTAAATAATTGAAAGAAAATGATATTTACTACAGTTACATAGAGTAAAGAATAACATTATTCATCTTAAATCTAATTCTAAAATGTCTACACACTATGTATTCTAGTGTTGTCACGATTACAAAATTCTTGAATCATTCAATCTGCCAGCCAAAAATCATATTGGTGCCGTATAAATTCTATAATGGCAATGTCTACTGCGTTCCAAGGTTTTTTTTCTTGTGATTTTTTGTTGATAAGTAAATTATAAAATGACGCATGAACACTGAATAGCTGGTTGTATATTATTGTAGTACATTTCGTTGGGTTTGTGCTAAATTGTTTAAATTGGCAATAAATAACATTTACTAAGTTATGAGTTTTGATATTTAGTTACGCGATTGAGCTGAGTAAGACATTCCCGTGTTCTGACCTACCCCTACAGCTTTAACTGCTAATTAAAAATCCAATACTGGCAATAGATTACAATTCACTAGTACAACAATTCTGTACATAATATTTTAACATATATAGCGATAATCATATTGATGAAAAACAACAAGAGAAGCCGTGGAAGACAGTACAAATAGAAAAGAACATGTGTCATTTAAAAAGGCGGCAAGATATGCAGAGGGGGGCAAATAGAAGATCCTCCTGACTGGTTATGTCAGGAACTCGTTTATTTGTTGTCTCGTACACAGTAACTGCACATTCTGATTGTGAATTATAATAAATTACAATAGGATAGAAAATTAATTTATACTGGAAGAATTTCTGAGGGAATCTTTCCATTATATTGTTGGAGCATTGTTTTCTTCTTTATAAAACAGTATTTTATTAAAATTACATTGGCAGTTTATCACTCATAAAAAGGCATAGCCAACTTCCCCGTCTCATGCGGCATGCATTCAGTCCATGTATTATAATACTGCCCATGACATTATCATGTCTGTTTTGTCCGTTGTTGACAGCTATTTCGCGCCAAAATCAACCATTTTACACATTTGGTAGGCGAAGAATTCCATGCGACATTGAGATTGTGCCACTGTGTAAATGGGAATTTCTGTATAGAGTCTCAAAAGACGTACTTTCCATACGGTTTTAATAGGCAGCAATTCAGCAGTGTGTTTAAGCAGACTGTAAAAGTCAAATATTATTATGTAATTGTATCAATATAAATTAGATGAAACGACAATCGATTTTTCAAAATGTGAATCGGTTTGAGCTAGAAACCGAATCGACTACAACTAAACCGATTAATCGTGACAACCCTAATGTATTCTACAGTTTAAATCGTTAACCGGTTTACACAGCTTTCTTTTACAGTTTAAATAAGAACATCAAAAATGACCATAAACAAGTATGAACCAGGAACTGAGCATCACTTCATCACAACCATCTTAGATTTATGATGTCAAATAACACGCTTTTATGGAATAACAATTACTATGGTTTATTTCACTGCGACGTTTCAACAAGATTTCACAAGTCGTTATCAAGCATATACACAAATAGATAAACCAGTGGCTGCCAGGCAGGATATGCCCACATTTTTCAAAAGATGGATAGAGAACAAGCTCAACAAAAAGCGATTTTTCTTAACATCAGGGGCCATAATTCAGGAAGATGCGATCAGATATCGAAAGCAACCAAGATCTTTGGGTTATAAACATACATTTCAAGTTTCATCAAAATCGGATCAAAATTGTGACCTCTAGAGGGTTCACATATACCAGATGTTTACACTATTTGCACACCCGATTTTCATGAAATTCGAACTTAACCAACAATACGGTGTAACAGTGACATATTCGAACGTTTTTTTTTAAATCAGATAATAATTGTGATCTCTTGAGGGACCACAAGCTAGAAACACAATTTTTTGTACAATTCAGGACGTTACAATCCGATATGCGTGAATATCGAAAGGAACCAAGATGTTTGGGTTAAATATTTTCACTATCAGCGTACGAGGGTGGCCATTTTGCCCGGCAGTTTTGGTCCGATTTCAACAAATTCGAACTCAACCATCATTAGGGTGTAACGGTCATATTTTCAAACATTTTTTTGAATTGGATAAAAATTGTTAACTCTAGATGGACCACGAGCTTAAAATGCAATTTTTCATACGATCAACGGCCATAATTCAGGAAGCTACGATCCGACATGCGCGAATATTGAAGGAACCAAGACCTTTGTAATATAAGCATAAATTTAAGGTTGCATCAAAATTGGAAAAAATTGTGGCCTCTAAAGGGTCTACAACCTTGATATACAACATATTTACACCATTTGCTTATACAAGGGGCGGATATTTTGTCCATCAGTTTTTGACCATTTTTCACAAAATTCGAACTCAACCATCATTATGGTTTAACGGTGATATATTCACAGTAATTCACACGTTTTTTTATAAATCGGATAATAATTGTGACCTCAAGAGCCAGAGGGACCAAAAGCTAAAAACAAGATTTTTCGTACAATCAGCGGCCAGAATTCAGGAAGTTACGATCCGATATGCGCAAATATCAAAAAGAACCAAGATCTTTGGGTTATACGGGGGATGGCCATTTTCTCCATCAGTTTTGGTCCGATTTTCACGAAATTCGAACTCAACCATCATTATGGTGTAACGCGCGTAACGGTGACATATTCACACATTTCTTTTAAATCTGATATTAATTGTGACCTCTAGAGCCAGAGGGACCACAAGCTAAAAACAAAATTTTTTGTACAATCCGGAAGTTAGGATCCGATATGTGCAAATATCGAAAGGAACCAAGATCTTTGGGTTATAAACATGTATTTAAAGTTTCATAAAAATCAGATCAAAATTGTGAGCTCTAGAGGGTCCACAACCTTGATATGCCATATTTTTACACTGTTTGCATTCGAGGGGCGCCATTTTGTCCGGCAGTTTTGGTTCTGATTTTCACGAGATTCGAACTCGGCTATCATTAAGGTGTAACGGTGATATATTCAAAGGTTTTTTTTTAAAATCAGAATAAAACTGTGACTTCCATAGGGTCCACAAGCTAAAAACGTGATTTTTCGTACAATCAGGGGCCATACATGCCAATATCGAGAGAAACCAAGATCATAGGGAGATAAAAATTGTGACCTGTAGAGTGTCCACAAACAATTTTGGACGGACGGATGTCCGGACGGACAGGGGCGACGACAATATACATCTACATGAAAATGTGGGCGTATAAAAATGAGAAATGGTTTCAATACTATGTCTAAATGTCTGTCCACGTTCATCTCTGTTTTGTCCCATATTCGTTTTGTATCTCTGTCCCCACTCGCACCCATCTCATTCTGCACTTGTCATTAAACGTTTCGTCCCGTCTTTACTGTCTTCTGTACATATATATAAATATCTAATAATTCTTTAATCCTTTATTTCACTAATCACATTGTAAATTATTGCACCATGTATACATAAAATGTTATTGTTTGCGATATCACCTCGGTGGAAGCGGACGTAAAATACAACTAACTCACACACTCAATACATCTATAGTTCGCACTGATGTTTTTATATATATATTCATTTTTTTTCCTCATTTTTTATCTATTTGTGTATATTTCGGCCATGATTGATACTTACTGAACCTGATACTATTAAATTTGACTGGGGATTAAAATTACAACAAAATACATAATTGCTGTGACCTTTCAATGTCTTTAAACATTTTCCCTGCAAAAATAAAACAGATCTAATAAGTTAATAAAATCAATACTGGCACATGAACATATACACCAAGTTGGAATAATTTACCTCAATACTAATAGCCAACTGTGAGGCTGATGTCCCCCACAGCAAAACAAATCAAACAGATCACACATGTGAATTAATTACACATTTATCTTTTTGACAAGCGGTTGCCATGCAAGACACGCTCACATTTTTCAAGAGATGGACAGAACAAGCTAAAAAAAATAATGTGATTTTTTGTACAATCAGGGGCCATAATTCAGGAAGATATGGTCTAATATGCGCGAATATTGAAAGGAACTAAGATCTTGGGGTTATTACATACACTTCAAGTTTCACACTCCACAACTTTTACACAAACTGTTGGACAGTTTCATTTCAATTTTCCCGAAATTCGAATTCAACCTTCATTATGGTGGAATGGTGATATATTTAAATGGTTTTTAAAATCAGAAAAAAATTATGACCTCTAGAGAATCCCCAAGCTAAAAATGCGATTTTTCGAACTATCTGGGTCCACAATCCAGGAAGCGATTATCAAAAGGAAATGAAATGAAATGGGGTTTAACGTCCTACTGTTCTGCTCCTAAACTGGGATAATGAAGATGGGTAAACGCCATATAGTGTGCTATGAGGGGAAATTTTGCCCGGGCATGGCACTACAGACTACTCTTTTATCGAATTCCAACTGCCAAAGGAATCTTTTACGTGCACGCCAATGTGTACACGGGACCTCGGTTTTTTGTTCCATCCGAACGACTAGACGGCTGTCCTTGTCAGGCCCTCTGTCCTGCATCACTGATATCAAAAGAAAACAAGATCTTAGTGTGTAACGGTGATATATTCACACGTTTTTTTAAATCGAATAAAAATTGTGACTTCTAAATTGTGTACAATCAAGGGCTATAATTCAGGAAGTTACGATCCGATATGCGCAAATATCAAAAGAAACCAAGATCTGTGGGATATAAACATGTATTTCAAGTTTCATCAAAATTGTGGACACAACCTTGATATACCAGATGTTTACACTATTTGCGGATTAGGGGCGGCCAATGTGTCCGACAGTTTTGGTCTGATTTTCACGAAATTCGAACTCAACCAACATTACGGTGTAACGGTGATATATTCGAACATTTTTGTAAATCGGGTAATAATTGTGACCTCTAGACGGACCACAAGCTAAAAACATGATTTTTTGTACAATTCAGGAAGTTACGATCCGATATGCGCAAATATCGAAAGGAACCCGGTTATGAACATGCATTTCAACTTTCATCAAAATCGTATCAAAATTGTGAGCTCTAGAGGGTCCACAACCTTGATGTACCATATTGCGTATGAGGGGCGACCATTTTGTCTGGTAGTTTTGGTCCGATTTTCACGAAATTCGAACTCAACCGTCACTAAGGTGTAACGGTGATATATTCAGACGTTTTTTTAAATCGGAATAAAATTGTGACCTCCATAAGGTCCACAAGCTAAAAAACATGATTTTTCGTACAAACTGGGGCCATACAGTTCCTCCCAAATTTTTGGGACCGAAATCGCCGCGACGCGGTAAAAATAAACTATCGGATTTTACGGTGAAATTTCGCTTGATTCCGCGGCGATTTTTCTCTAAGATTCGCTAGGAATTCACCGTGTTTCTCTAGGAATTCGCCGCGTTTCTCTAGGAATTCGGCGTGTTTCTCTAGGAATTCACCGTGTTTCTCTAGGAATTCACCGTGTTTCGATAAGAATTCACTGTGTTTTGCCGTGCTTCCCGCAAGGAATTCGCGAGCCTACCTTAAGCTAGGGTCGAACTAATATTGTCTATAATAAATTAAAGGAGTTGTAATATAGTAATGCTCCCGGGAAACGTGTACATGTATAATGTACAGGCAGGTTTGAATAACAAATGAGTTAGGTAATCTCAGGAAGACATTTACCAGCATTCTGTATCGGTTAGGATTTTTTTCCCCAACGCACTTTTATTATACATACATAACGCCGGCCAAAATGTATGCAAACTATGAACAACTTACAATTTTTTAAACATATCAGTTCATCTTCATCTATAACTTAGATGTAATCTGTGAATTTGGGGCTGCTATCAAATTCAAACTTTAAATTATATACTTCATTACTCGCAGCTTCAGTTAATCTAAATCAATCATCCATACAGCACGTACAGTAAATCACTCCGCGGCTCGCTTAACGGTATGTTACGTGGTCAGAAACGCGCCAAAAGATTGGGACTACATGTATATTCTTACGCTGTTTTACTCGGCGAATAATATCCGCTGTGACAATATACATCTACTTTATGTCACCCAATTCATTTCGGTGGGAGCAGATATTGAATAAAGTCATTTCACTCACACATATGTGTACATTACATGCGCCTCATATATTTATACAATATCCACGAGTGTGTTAATTCTCGTCTTCACCCCATTATAATTTACTTATTTTGAGTACACTTTCTGAATGATTCCATTCTTTTGTACGTCCAACTTGTCGATTTCCTACTGCATATACATGTACCCTGTGTAGCTGCAATCTATAAGCTTATACATATGTATGTTTGCGTTTAAAATCTAGATATCAGAAGCTCGAAAGTTATACTAGACGGTGAATAAGCAAGTTTCGTGGTTGAACCCGCATCGATATTGCATAATATCGGACCCATATTTATCTTTGCTACTCGGACAAACCCAAAGAACCCCTCGGACCAATTAAATTACATTATAAGGCTTGACTTATTCATTTTAAAAATATAATACAGATAATATGTTATTTATGATTAAATCACAATACAAAGAGGCGAATAATTTATAGATGAGTATATTCATAGCTTAAGAATGGCCGCTGCCGGTAAGTACATATTAGCAAATATTTATCTTTATTACATCAACAATTCAATTGTTTTTCTTTGATGGGCTTCATGATGAAACAATACCACGTGTAAGTACATAATGCTTTATTATTTCAAAGAAAGCAGATGCATATTAAAACAAACACAATTATCAATTATTAAAACAACAATTAAAACAAATAGTGTACCAATTGTACCCGCGATTAAGAATTGAAAAGGGATGTTTTCTTAGGGAGCCAGACTTTGTTTTTGTAAAGAGCCTGCTTAACATTAGTATTGTATCTGATGATTACATTGTATTAACCACCTGAATGGGTCAAATTTAAAGAATGAAATGGCTTCCTGTAGATTTGTCGAAAGCCTTTGTCTGTTAGCTTGGTGGTTGAGAAGTATAAGTAAATTATAACGGGGTGAAGGCGAGAATTAACACACGTGTGGCCATTGTATAAATATATGACATGCGCATGTATTGTACACGTCTGTGTGTGTGTGAAATGGCTTTATTTAATATCCGCTTCCACCGAAATGAAATGAGCGGCACACAGTAGATGTATATTGTTACAGTGGATATTTGTCGTAAGAATATCCCTTGGTTGAATGCATTTAAATGTACAGTATTCTATTAAATAAATAGTTTTTTATTAAATAAAGGGAAGAACTTACCACAAAACCTAATCCATGGCCTAAGGCCGAAAATGATAAGATTGCAAAATCATATTCTAAAAACAGGAAGCAGCTTCGGTTCTCCTATTTCTTGTCTGCGATAACACGTATGTGGAAGCAGACCTTAAACACCAGGATACTACTACTACTATGGATACGGAATTTGTAAAAAAACAAATACATGGCGCTGTCACTTTTGTGACTTTGGCAGTGTACCCCCTCCCACACATATTATTTTAATACGTCATAATACATTATTATCATATACCGGTAACAGTCAAGATTTGCTAAATACTTTTCGCCAAGTAACACAGCGTAAGAATATATAGTCCCCGTGTCGAACCCAACATCTCCTGTTTTCGCGCATTTATGACCACATGACGTTCGGTTAACCGCATTGCGGAGTGAATTACATGTATGGCAATGTGATTTATGAATGGTTGATTTAGATTAACTGAAGCTGCGAGTAATGAAGTTATGTGTAAAATCTCATCGAATATAATTTAAAGTTTGGATTTGATAGCAGCCAATAAGATGAAATGATACGTTTAAACCAGCGGCTGCCAGGCAGGATGCGCCCACATTTTCGAGAGATGGATAAAGAACAAGCTAACAAGAAAGTGATTTTTCCTACAATCAAGGGCCATAATTCAGGAAATTACAAATCGAAAGGAACTGAGATCTTTGTGTTATAAACTTACATTTCAAGTTTCAACAAAATTGGATAAAAATTGTGACCTCTATAAGGTCCACAACCTTGATATACCATATTTTTAAGCTATTTGAGAACGAACGGCGGCCATTTTGTCTGTCAATTTTGGGGCGAATATTCACGAAATTCGAACTCAGTCATCCTTAGGGTGTAACGGTGATATAATAGAACGTTTTTTTAAATCAGATAAAAATTATGACTTCTATAGGGTCCACAAGCTAAAAACGTGATTTTTCGTACAATCAGGGGCCATAATTCAGGAAGTTATGATCCGATATGCACGAATATCGAAAGGAACCGAGATCTTTGGGTTATAAACTTACATTTCAAGTTTCAACAAAATCGGATAAAAATTGTGACCCCTATAGGATCCACAACCTTGATATACCATATTCTTACGCTATTTGGGAACGAACGGCGGCCATTTTGTATGTCAATTTTGGGGCGATTTTCACGAAATTCGAACTCGGTCATCCTTAGGGTGTAACGGTGATATAATAGAATTTTTTTTTTTAAATCGGATAAAAATTGTGACCTCTATAGGGTCCACAAGCTAAAAACGTGATTTTTCGTACAAACAGGGGCCATAATCCATGAAGTTTTGATCCGATACATGCCAATATCGAAAACAGCCGAGATCTTTTGGGGATAAACCTATATTTCAAGTTTCGTCGAAATCGGATAAGAATTGTGGCCTGTAGAGAGTCCACAAACAATTGTGGACGGATGGACAGGGGCGATAGCATA